AAACAAACAAGGTTAATTTGAGATTCTCCAGGTGGAAATTATGTGGGAGGTTGTTTAACACCCCTACCATAAAATTTGGCCATGCAAACCCCAAACAGATCACACACAGATCCCCCAAATCTAGACAAAATAAACACTGGCACGCATGGATTAATCCAAAACTAAATGCCTTGTTTATAGCAGCAACAATATTACTGAGCCCATATAATTGTGACTTTGATAACAATATGATTTGACTAATGATGCAGAGCCGGTGGAACAGGCCGAGCAGGTTGGACTGTACTTGTAATAACAAGTGGAGACGTGACTTAGAGGAAGCTGCTTTTCCCTCAGCGGGTATAAAGTGGAATTGCACTAACCAGTGGACATTTGTCTTCATGTGAATATATGCAATAAAACAGGCCCCTGTTACCAGCAACACTGAGACATAAATAACAAGAAAAATCATATTAAAAAGTATTTTTGCTTTTTCTTTTTCTTACTTGTCTTCAATTTAAGAAAAAAATAAAAGGGGAAAAAGAGGTTGGATGTTTACAAAAAGAGCTTCACTCAAACACAGTTCACAGTTTTATAATAAAGACTCACTAATGGCCTTGCTAAGGGCACTGCACTAATTTAGTGGAGCAAATACAGTTTTTTAAAAAAAGAAATAACCCTGATAATGTCATCATAATGGATTTTACTATTCAGTTGCATCATGGGAATTACTATCCTGCATATTTACATCATGATCTTGACAGCTCCTTTTTCCTCTTTTGAGTAGCCCAATAATGCAGTAATAAATCATTAAAGTATCCAATCCAATCCAGTTTGTTTGTCTGTTCAACCCCACAGAGGGAACAGCAACAAATTTGTAGGTTGTAGGGGTGGGCGGATCGATACTACTGTTGCAAAGTCTTGTTTTGAGTATTGATACTAGCGTAGAATCCATACAAAAAAATGGATCAATGATGTTTGATGACATCCTGGGCACGTGAACATTATTCTTAGTTGCAGTATTTGCAACTCTGCTGCTGCTGTTGTGAGTATGCGCGCAGTAATCCTTCGCACAATGAACATTTCTTTATTCACTATCAAAAACTGTCTTTAAACATGCATGTGATTAAGTATTTTGTGGTGATTAAAATATATTCAGAATTAGATTAATATAGATTACATACATCATATTCCCTTCCTTTAAGTGATGGTACATTAGCTGCTTTTAACAATAAAATGTATCAATGTTGGTATTAATATCAGTGATCTTGGCCCTACTTGGAATTGGATCAAACCAAACTTTGTGGTTTCGCCCACCCCTAGTGTGTTGTATTGTAAAGGTCGAAGGTCACTAGCAGGTTATAAATTTGATCAAGATAACAAAGACAGGAAACCATAAAACCCACTTTTTGCGACAAATTACAAAAACACTCTCACTGTGTGTGATAACAAGTCACAGCAGGTTGCTGCACCTTATGTTTGGACATGAACATCAAACCAGGTCCTCAGTGCGATCCCTCTAAAGCCACCTGCATATTAATCTGATGCTGAGACTTGTGTCAAATGGTCAGAAAACACTGAAAAACACCCAAATACATCACATACTTGCTAACAGCCCTCTCGTCTGCCCACACATTCTTACATATATTTGCAGTATGCAAATTGCCGAAAGCAGCCAACAAATCTGTATGCACACGCATCTATTAAACCCTCTAAAAACACACAAATCCTCACACAATGAAAATATGAACACAGATGACTGTGCTCAGATGTACAGTACTCACGGTCCATCTTTCACACACACACACACACACACAAGACATGGACTAGGGGTGAAATGTGGCAGGTGTGCTTCGACAGTACCTGCGGGTTGTGTCAGCAGAGAGATAGGGGTTAAGAAAGTAAGATAAGAGGCCTTTACAGACACAAAGTCAGAGGTGCAAACAGGTTTTCTCCTGGATATTGATCATGTACATATTTATTTGCAGACTGTTTGTGGATGTGTGGGTGTCAGAGCTCTCAATACTGCATGACAAATTAACCCTTTATTTCCCCTAAGTGTACGCTTTAGTCATTCCACAACACAGAGTGCTGCTTGGAAACCACCTGCTGCACAGAGACACTCAAATGCAGGGATGTAGTGGAGTGTAAAGCCGCCAAAATATAGTTTACAACGAATTTTAGTCTGACATCAGTGTATAAATCATAATGCAAAACTTTTATCATTGATTTTTGAGTATTGAGTGTTTGTAGTTCATATTTTCTTACTAATTTTTTTACTTTTCTTTATTAACCACTTAAACCCACATTTCCCAATATTTACCTACAATTATACATTTTAAAATTCTGAGCCTGAAAACAAGAAACCAGCATAAAAGATCAACACATACGACAAATAGAATTAATAAAAGTGCAGTTAAAGGTGCGTAGTATGTGGAACTAGTCCTGTCCTATGCGCACTGTACATACAGTGTTGAATATATAGATAATTTGTAACAGTAGAGATTTAGACATCATGAGATTAATTACTCATTCTTGCTAGTAAGGAAGCCCACGTGACTTTGTGATAGAGAAAGCAATTATAGTTACAAAATGTGTCACTAGTGATAAAGTGCAAAGCACTGTGGTAGACAGGGTTTAACTGAGGTAGCGGTGGCGCAGCCACCGTTGTGATCTTGAGTTCAATTTAAAATGAAAAATCTTATGTTTACATACTGCTTGTACATATTACACTTGTTTTTAATGATAGATCTGTTAAAGAGTCTTTGGGGAAAAGGGAGTGCACAGACTCTTTCTGGGATCTCAAGGGTCAGGAGCAAAAAAAACAGAACTACTATCTACTGCGCACAGGATTAAAGTCTGTGGATTTAGTGGCAGCCAGAGGTGAAGAAGAACCATTTTAATACAGCTCGGCCTTCCAAGCGTGTAGGAGAAAAGCTACTGTGGAAACATAACAGTTCAACGCGGCGTCCTCCGTGGAAGAAGACCCGCTCCCTCTGTGGATACAAACAGCTCGTTCTTTATTGAATATTATATTACATTTCATTATATTCCAATAAAACCTGCTAAATGTTACATACTGGACGTTTAAGGCTACATGTAAGTTTAGTATTTCTTGTTTGCCTGTTTTTGCTGTATGGTCACCACAGTGCAAACCAAGGGGGAACTTTCCCATTCATACCCAGATGTATCTTAGATTGATAAAAGTTTTTTTTAAGTTTGTTTCTCTGTGCAAAAAGGGCACGGGTACCCTACTCCCACACTACAGTACAGTACAGTAGTTCCTCTTTTTCTAAACTTGAAAATAGAATGGCTGATCTGCTCTATATGAATATACAGTACATTATGTGCTGTATGTAAGAGGCACAGGACAAAGATAGAGAGATAGATATCCTTCTCATAAGAAAGAAAGAAAGATAATGCAAAGAAAGGAAGCCTATACAGTAAATATAGCAGGGATACTGACTAACAACAGAAGATTAACCCTTTCAGTGCAGTAGCCAGACAGACATAGTGAGACAGACACAGCTTGTGAACACCACAAGTTTCATTTTTCACTTTCTATACACAGACGTAAATCTTTATCTCACAGCAGTGAGGCCAGTAAGGTGTCACCTCCAGACTTAACGTGACATTTTCTGTAACTCCACCTTTTCTGTGTGATCCGTGTTACTCTCACACAGATACTGGTGAGACATGTTAAAAAGAAAAAAGCCATCTTTTCCAACTTTGCATTTTGGAGGGAGATTGTTATCCAGCATGATGGGCTGATGGGGTGCATGTTTTTAAAGAGGGAGTGGTCGGATGACATTTAAGAGGCAAAAGAGGGGGCTCTGTTTGCAGTGTCAATATTTACAGTGACACATGCTGGATGAGTACTGACTGACTGAGGTGAATTGTGTGTGTGTGTGTGTGTGTGTGTGTGTGTGTGTGTGTGTGTGTGTGTGTGTGTGTGTGTCTGTGTGTGTGTGTGTGTGTGTGTGTGTGTGTTTGAGTAAGAGACAGAAAGTCGGTAAGACAGAATTATCAGCATGAATGGATTTTAGAGCTGTTGTTGTGCTCTGATGAACAGATTTGGGTGCTCAAAAACACAACTATTATCTATTTTGTTTGGAACATGTGAGCTCTCATCTACCTTAAGCATTACACCCAGAAAAAGGCACAGAGCACTGGAAAACGTTGAGTTGTAGCAATCGAAACAGGCCGATAAGATATAGTTTAGAGAAGTCAACCAGCACAATGTTATGAGATTGAATAGGTGACCAATCACAAGTGGACTCTGCGTCTGTCACAATCTACAAGCCTCGTTTTGCATTGCAAATCAGAAATATGCAAATGAGGGAAACACAGGCTGCCTGTACTACTTCTCTCCTCACTACACTATCAGCAGGCCATCTCTCGTTCTACGTGCTTTCCCTCTTTTTCAACCCTGTATTTGCAATAGTTTCACATTTCTTTATTCTACTGAATCCCCATTAATCCTCTTATCATTTATTTCCCTTCGTCTGACTTTTCACTTTACATTTCCCTCCCTTTTTCTTTTTTTAATCTTGATCAAATTCTGCTTCCTGCGCCTTCTGTGCTCTGTAAAAAAATCAGCTTTTAAATAGGTATAGTTTCATGATTCAACATTGTGACTCATTCAGCTTCATGTTCTCCATTGTTTGTCCTGCAAACTACAACTAAGCGCAACTTTGTGCTGTTTGATTTCAACCTGTATTTCTTCTCTAGGTTTTTGTTGTTTACATATGAGCTCATAGCCCCCAGCCATGCTTACATCACAGAAGATCATGTTGATTCACAGGTTCACTTTTGTATGTATATTGTAAACAAAGCAGCAGGGAGAGGCACCCATAATGTGCCCCCTAGCATGAGAAGTGACGGTGTCTCCTGTAGATTTTATATTACTGAAATGCTTTTACTGCCCTCTAGTGGTCAAACAGTTGCAACATTTTCTTGAAAATTGGGCCGTTGGGCCCCTGCGTCCGTCTAAATTTGGTCAACACACACAACCACACAGAATATTTAGTGCATTGGATGTTAACTGAAAAAAACATTTATTTTATTGTTCACAGTGCTCAGAGGTTGGTTGTCAGAACAGAAATATACAGTCAAGATGTCAGATGACCCATACAAACACCAAAATACAGAGATTCAGATTCAGTGTGACTTGTTTGGATTGACTGATGAACATAGTGCAAACATATTTAATAACTCAGGTGCACTGTTAGTTAGTCAGTATTCATTTGAGATAGCATAGGCTTCATTTGAAGGGTTTCATTCAAAAATTCTATAATTACTAAGCAGAAGATTACTTTTCGACAAAATAGTCCTTATGGTAGCTGGCATGTACTGTAGCTCTCTGCTGCTATCAGTAGCTATCTGTACGGAAATCTAAACACCTACACAGATGGCAAATTCCATCTGCTGATGAAGAAAAAAAAACAACTGTTGGTTAAGAATGAACCTTTGAGCCAACGTGGAAAACAAGTGCTCAAAGTATTTGGAGAAATTGGAAAGGTGAACATTTACAACTCCATGACGACTGGGATCATGAGGGAAAGCTCCAGAGCCACTGCTAGATGGACCTTGTGGTGAGATTTGTTTTCCACAGTGGCATGTTCAGTTTATCAAATGGTGCATCAGTCTCAGTGACTTGCTTCAAGTTTGCCTTTAAACCATCAGGCGATTGATCACAATGATACTACTGGACAACACTATTAAATCTGGGGTGGAACTGCATCAGAGTAGTTGATTTAACACAGTGGCTACTCTTGAACATGCATGAATTTTGTCAGTTCTTTGTGTCTAATGTTATAAACTGTACCAGTTTCTCTTTTCCCATTACAGTAAATTCACAGATTTTTTAATACAATGATAATTATTGTGAGTCTAGTATAATAATCACTCTGGCATACACATTTTTATTAAACACATCCAGTACATGTTTGTACACTACTGTAATAGTGAAACCAGTATGGCTCAGTGACCCTGTTTCAGTGCTGATTCTGAGAGGTATTTAAAGGCAGCCTGAGGCCTCTTGTCTCGACTCGGTCTACACTACAGCAGCAGACTTACAGAGTTTAGTGTGAGTTTCAGCAAAGCCAATGGAGTGCTACATATGAACAATTTTCTTATAATTACCAGAAATATAGATACATATTATAGAGGCACCCCATAGAAGAGGCTTATATCAGTTATTTTTAAAAAAGAAATTAATTTTATATATATATATATAATATATAATAATTGAGCTGTGATGTATGGAGGATATACTGTGTGTACTGTGTTGGCTGGGTTGTTAGAATCATAAAACTCAGGTTATTCCTCTACATGTCAGGGAAGACGTGGGGCCTGGGCCTCTGTTAGCACCGTGTACACAGCCTCGACCATACCAGACGCCAATCTTAAATGTGACAACTTTATCTATACATATTTAGAGCAGAGTGTTAAAAAAAATACTTTTTATATCAGTACTACTTACACTTGGACCAAGTAGTATTTACAAATACTTTATATACTTTTACTTTTTAGGTTTTATCAGCTCTATATGTTTTACTCAGTTGCAGATATAAAAGTAACATTTAAGACGATGAATTCTATTTTTAATAATGTATATACTTTTTTGTAACAGACATCTTAATCGCCATGATATTCACTGCAGTATATAGTTACTTTTATATTAGTATTAGAGATATTTGCAATTACTAATTGGCCCAAGTCTGTTCATGACATAAGACACAGTGCACACAGTAGCTGCAGCAAGTGCAAAAAAGAAAGTAATAAACGCCTTATAGAGGTAACAGAGCAGTGAGTTAATGTGTCAAAACAGTACATTGGCACCTTGGCAATGCTGAAAGGGCATTAAGACCCAATCTGACCCTGATAGTGGGTGAAAGATGAAACAGGAAATAAGCTGCTACAGTACTATGAGTGTGTTGCTGGTATGGCTGAAGAGAAACAGGCAGAAACTGTAGGTGTAAGAAAACTTGTCCAGAAAATGGTATAACACCATAATAAAATGTGTTAGACAGACCAACTTGCTGTTAAGGCTTTGTTGTATATGAGCTTGTAAAGTGAGGTTACGGGACAAATAAATTCACCCACTAAGTTGTTACAAAGGTAACACCAGTGTACGAGTTATGTTTCCCAATATCCATACCCAGTAGAAAGGTTGATACATTGCTGAGATTTTGGCATGTGAAGTGCTGAGGTCACAGTATGTACAGATTATACTGTTTATAACATTACATACATAACATTACATACATGAACACAAACACTTTTTTAAAAAATGGCTCTCGTTTGTGTTCTCCACATCAGTCTAAAAACATCCATGTAAAGCCACTTTGCATCAGTCATTAATGTGTCCGTCAGTTCAGTCAGTCTTACAGGTTACACAATTAAAACAGAATACGAAGTACAGTTAATAGTACCTTGACATACCAACTTAGTGCTTGAGTTAAAAACACACTTCATTGAAAAGTAGACAAGTGAGACACTTGTATGAAAGAGCATCCAATAGAAGTGCAAGCTGTACAAAAAGAGAAAAAAGTGTAAAGAGCTTAATTGTCTAAAAGTTTAAAAAGCATCATATAGTGGATATATTCATATATTCCTCTTTTATTTCATATATTTTATGTACTCTTTTCCACTGACTTGTGTATAATTTTGGCTTTTTCATTTCTTTATTGTTCCAGCAGCATTGTGCAAACAGATAAATATTTGTCTTCATCGATCCCTCTTCTGCCATCAGCCATAACCTTTTAATTCTGTCCCTGCTTTTCTCAGATACTTTGAAGCAGATATCACAGGGTTAAAGAGAAAGGCATGACTTTTTTGTCAAATTGGCATATATTTACTAAGATCCGTCCATCCATCAGCCCCACTATGAATCTTCTTTTTTTCCCCCTTCAGGGCTTCAGTCCTCCACTCCAGCATAGGGAGCCATTTCACATGAATCCAAGCCATCTCCCATTTAGGGCTCCCACTTTCAAAGCCTGTGAACAACCAGCAGTGGGAGAAAATATGCAGGAGGACAAACAAGGAGGTGGATGCACACTCCTCTCCTCCGTTCACAAAGGAAGATGAAACGCCTTAGGAAACAGGAGAAGGATTAAGGGATGTCTTCCCCCTCTCCTCCGCCTCCTTCAGGCTCAGGCTCCTCAGCATGGGAGTGTGTTTGCGTGTCTGAAGGTGTGTGTGCATATCGTAGGCGGCTCCAGCGGGCCTTGTTCTTGTGCAGGTGACCCATCATGGTCTGGCTGAGCAGGCTGGGCTCGGTGAAGCGGTGCCACTCCTCAAACAGGGGTTCCACGATGTAAGAGATGAACCCTGAGAGAAACACAACAAAGGCGGATCATCTCCAAATCAGTGGAGGAACATCACTGGTTTATATTCACGATGTCAGAGTATAAACTAATTAGTGTATGCATGTGTGTACTCACCTATCTGAATGGATGGGACAGAGTCTGCCTGCTGGTTACACAGAGGACTGATCTCCAAGTCAAACTTTCTCTCCAGGTCACCTGTCAGGTTAACAGTCAACATTCAGAAAACCACATGAATGTGAGAGAAGCCTTAACAAAGATGATGCTGATGTAGACTATTATAAATAGGGTAATATCTTAGTATGCTGATGAAAGCCAAAAAAATATAGGGAATACAAGTATTATTATTTTTTTTTCAAATATCAGTAACAGCCATAATCATTTTCAGGTATCAACCACTTAATTAATAACTACAACATAAAATTGAGTAATTTCTGAAGGAACAAACAATCATTTTAATGGTATTTAAGTATTTATTTGAAAAACATTAAGCTATAGCTTAAAAGTGGCACATGCAGTCCTTGTCACAAGAAACAAATGACCTTTTCTCTTTTTTTTTAATCTTGATTTGAATTGAGCGGACACTTTGCTCACCCTGCCTGTAGAATTCTTCACACACCCTCTCACTCCACTGTCTGCTCAGCTCCCAAACCCGACACGGATTACAGACATCCGCACACTTCAGAGCAATCTGAAGGCAAACAGAGAGAGAGAGAGAGATTCACACACGAAGTGCATGTTAAAGTTAGAATGTTTGAGAATAATGCACAGAGATAGTGTCCGGTGGGTGTGCAGCATACCTGCAGTATAAAGTGCCTGTGTGAAGCCAGCTGAAGGTCCAGGTCCTGGTTGTCCAGATGTTCTCTGAAGGTCAACAGGAACTCATTCTGCCTGCTGATGTCTGTAGCCAGAATGAGAGAGCCCAGCTGCTGTTCCATGTCCTGCCTGCAGAGTAGAGGGGGTGCACCACTGAGCCAAAACAAAAAGCTAATTTTTGATAAAACCTGTACCCTAGCAACAGCTTCATTTTTGGGAATGTATTTATTAGTAAATCATCACAGGCAATACTACCCTTTTACAGCTATTTGCTAAACGTAGTACTCCTGCGTTGGTGTTCTATAATTGACCTCTGACCTTTCTGTGGAGGCTGGTAGATGAAAGGAGATTATGATACCAAATGCTGCATGCTTATTTTACAGAATCAAACATGCTGATGTGTGTGGTTATGTGTGGGTGTGTAAAGGTTTTTGAATTTCTGGGTGTGCATGTTTGCAGTCATTTTTGATTTCAAAAAGAGTGCTGCCATTACACAGTACGTCTATTGCACAGCACTGACAAGTTTTTTTTTACAACTGGTTAATGTGTTCCTGTACAAATAAATCTAACATCCATTGTCTGTAAGGCTCTTTATGTGTGAGTTCTTACGACATGTCAGCAGGCAGATGGGATAGCAGTCCCGACTCTCGTAACATGCCCACAGTGGATCTCCAGTGGTGACTCTCCAGCACGGACGTGTTCTGTGGAGGATGAGGTGACATCCAAAATGTGTTAGAAACAGAGTCAGTGACAGGCTGGACACTAAAACTACGGCACATGTTCACCCCCACAGCGACTTAAATGTCAGCACACCCCTGTGTACCTGGTAGAGGGATGCCAGGTGGTGTCTGGTCTTGATGAGAAAGGGCTGGTTGACCCCGGGGTGGTCCACGTCGTGGGCGGCTGCAGCCATCAGACCCAGGAACACGTCAAGAGGACTCAGCTGCTCTGCCAGCTATAACACACGAATTGACCACAGGGTAATAGCTGTTCCTTATGTAGGAGGGACACTTGCACTTAAAACAAACTATCAGGAGAGACGGCATACAGAGCTGAATTTATAGCGTTTATCCTCACTAGTATCCAGTTCCGTCAATATTGTCACCCTGTCAGTTTCTTGATGATGATGGATACAAAGATAGCTGAAGTCAGTAGGTATTAAGGAAGTGATTATCTTTTATTTTTGTGGCTCTTCTCCAAAACACAAAATTTTGAATGACACAATGACTGTGAGGTTAAAGCACAGACTTTCACGCTGTAAGTGTGTTTGTGGGTGTTTGCATCCATATTGGTGAACAGTGTAGGACTCGAGCCCTTTTAATCCTTGGAGGGATATACTAGATATAAACAGCTACAATTTCTAAAGAGATCATCAGATGAGTCCTCAAATTTGTTTTGGAGTGTTGAGCTGAAAAATAAATAAATAAAACATATGTCCTAATACTTATGAACTACACTGCACATTAGGATTAAGGAAGGTTCTGACTGTTTTGATCTTCTATTTAGATGCCTTTTTTAAATTCAGTACAGCAGAGAACACATTTTGGATAATTTTATAAATACCAAATACATAAGAATTTGAATCATTGACCTCAAACGGTGCCTCCATTCTCAAATGCGCCTCAAAAGTATGTATTTTAATTAATAACAGAGCTAGGTGTGAGTCACAGGGTGAAGATAAATGCTTAATGGTCAGTAAAGGACAAAATGGTATATTGATCGGATAAGCAGCAGGCTTGATATCTCATATTGTGAGTGTGTGTTATCTAGAGCACACCCGCATGTGTGCTGTGTTGAATTCAATTTAATTGCGTAAGTGCTTTTAACAAAATAGGTGCATCACAAAGTGCTTTACAGAGCAACAGTGGGAACAAAAGCAATTACTGTATAAAGGGAAAAGATGCAGAGACACTTAATCTGGTCAGAGGGCTTCGGGGATTTCTCCTGTGGATGGAAGTGTTGTCGAGTCTAAATGAGCAGGAATTATCCTTCAGGAAGACACGCTAATAGGACATGTCAAGGAGAAGCCGTATAGTGTGTGTGTGTGTGTGTGTGTGTGTGAGAAAGAGAGAGAGAGAGATGGAGAGAGGCAGGGAAAGGGGTGTATGTGAATCCAGTATTATTTATTACCTTGGGCTCCTTCAGGTAGCAGTACATGGCTTGAGTGACATCGGCAGCGTGAACAGCATTGTGATAAGGATTCTGGGAGTGGTAGTCCTCTTGCACCATGCCTGGCAAGACAGGGGACAAGGTTAAACCCTATTAAACAATCTCAGCTTTCACATGTTTTATCTGAGCTGCTGAATCAGTCATGTCTTAATTTGATTATCAGAGCAGAGTCTTATGTGCAATAAGTATAATCCAGTTTACACAGCAGGGGTTTTCCTGTTTTTATTCCCCCAGAGGCGTGTAAACACAGAATTTTGTTTATTTAAAAGGTCTTCAAATTGCATATGTTGACCAACAACTTCAAAGGCCTAGTAAACAAACTGAACCCACAATAATGTACCTAGGTGATGATACCACATAAACATTAATAATTAATTGATCATTTTAAAGTTTATGTTTCGACCAATTTCCACTGTCCAATGAGAAGTAGAGAATAATCATGTTACTGTAGGTTGTCTTTACACCTCGTACTGTGAGGAAGTGTATGGTTACAATCTTTCAGCTTTCAGCTGGCTTTAATGGGAGCAGGTTTGAAGAGAAAAAAACACTGAGATAATTGTTGTAAACAACAGGCAAATTACTTGAGACAGACGTACAGACAACCCAAAAACATGATGCCTCCAGCCATGGCTATTGCCGGCACAGAGGCATAAAAATGCTGATTGCGTACTTAATTTCCTTAACAATACACAGCTCATTGTTGTTCTGCTGTATTATTTAGCATGCTATGGATACTGGATTAATATTCACTTACAGTACAACAATGTCCACACGGTCACTTTATCCATATTTGTTTTTATAGCGGGTAACATAAACCCTTTTGTGATGACTGAACCAGTTGACGTCAGTCTGGGCTTTTCTGAAAAGTTAAACCCTTCTCAGCTTTCAAGAGCATACTGCCCCGCCAAAAAGGTCGCCGGGTGCACGTTTTACAGAGCAAATGCTTTTTATGTAGTGGTGACGATTAGGGGAAAATGCTATGTGTAAATACACCCGTAGTCCTAACTCCTATTTAAATGTTTAAAAGAATATGTGTGCGTGTAAATATAAATTTTCAGTTTAAAGGCAATGAACAACTACTACTGGATTCAGCTAACAGAGGTTGTCTTAAAATGTATAAGGTTCAAAAGATTTAAGCAAATTCTTCTTGCTGTAGAACAAAGTGGGGCAGTCCCTTCCTTGCAGCTTACCGAGAAACCTGTGCAGCTTGACCATATCCAGCTGGAAGTGGTGAATGAGACCGTAGACATTGAAGAGATGGCACATCAGAGTCACCAGACTGTTACCTACAGCACACAAATCCATTCAAGAAATTGTTTTTTTTGTGCAGTAAGTGAACTATGTGAGAATCACATTTTACAGTACACAATGCTTCAAAGCAGTGCTTCAAAAACCTATTGGTGACATTACAGAGACTAAATGCATTTTTATCAATACAGTCTATGGTTTCCATAGTAGCACAGAACCAAATACTGCTTTTTGCCTTTTTAGGTTACCTAAAGGTCACCATAGGTCATCCAATACATTTAGAATGGGAGGGGTGAGTTAAGATAGATATAGAAACGAGTGCAACCTCAATACTAAAAGCCAGTAAATCCTACATACTGGTCCTTTAAAATCTCTTGAAAATTAAACAGTAACAAAAAGAAATCAACAATGTCATCATATGATAACAAACAATAGTTAAATTGGTGAAGATATATGGTAGGTGAGGGACAACATTAGTCAATTTTTAATAACAAAATAAATAAAGGCTGTCTTACCATTTGTAAGACGATCGAAGAGGAAAATGTCAAAGTTCCATGTGCCTACTTTTGATAGCATGTGCTGTAACAAAAGACAGACTGTTTTAAGAAGCGATCTATGGTTCACAGTTGATGCATACACAACACAAAGAGCTGGAGACACTGTCTACCTGTGCCTCTCCACATTTGTTGGCTTGTGAGAGTTCTTACCGCAGCTTGTCCCAGGTAGTCGTCGTCTAGTAGGTGTAGTGACCCGGGGGTGTGGGGCACCAACCCCCTGAGCAGCCTGGAGGCGTGGCAGTATCTCTGAAAGCTCAGCAGACGCTTAATCTTTCTCCTGGTGCCGGACTCTACTTCCCCCTGCTGGGCACTGGCTGAAATTACAATGTCAAATAATGTTCTTTAACAAACCCTGCAGAGTAGTGCAGGAATCACAGATAAGCATCTTAAAAACTATTTTAATATTTCCTGAATTGCATGTGGCTCTGTCCCAGGACTAAGATTTCTGGTCTTGATCACATAATTGCAAGATCATGCTCCATCAGGTAAGTAGACAAATGTGTGTTACGCTTTTTAACCCGAATTTAATGCTCAATTACTCTGATTCTGACAAGTGTATCCCATATTTCATCAAGGTCTACCACTGGAAATAATTATCAAAACACAGAGGAAGTTCACAAAGAAGTTCATGACATGTTGGATTCAGTGTACAAACAAATGCTGATTTATCTACAACACACATCATTAGCCACATCAACAAAATTAATTTGCAATAAATATTATACATGTGGGTAAATGGGTCATTATATAATCTTTCAGTGATTTAGATAAAAAGGGAATGTTTCTTTATACTTCGCAGCCTCCCTTTATGTTAAAAAGCAACTGATATTTATCTATTTACATTCAGTTGCCAGTTTATTAGGTACACCTAGCTAAAGCAAATACAGTCTAATACAACAGTCTTGCAATAATCCTACCTTCATGAAGGTTATAATATTCAGTTTTTGTTGCAATTGTTTCAGAGAGGTGTTGATTCAACTTAATGGTAATTTTGGAGGCTGCAGTTTCAGGGGCTGTTGAATTGTATTACATTATACTGACAGGTGTTGCTATTATTTTGTCCACCCATTTACAACAGCAATGGTGGGCTAACAAAACACCTCTCTCAAACACGTAAAAGTTTGAATGGGATTGCTATTTGCTCTTTTGCTATAGGTAGCTGTTTTTGCTGACTAAATACTAACTACTTTCTAGGAGAATGAATTGGAGGAGAGTTGTGTTAGTGAATTGTTGACATAGTCATGGTATACTGTTCTGTATTTAAATGTGTCTGGAGACTTACTTTTGAGGATGCGCAGGTCAATCAGCGGGTAGGAGCCTCGTCTCTCAACCAGCAACACACCAGCATGACCAGTGTTCAGTCTGCCATCAGCTGCACACAGACAGAGAAAGAAAGAGGAAAAGGAGAGGATGGAAAAAAGAGAATAAATAGTAAATATAAATTTTTGGTGTTTAAAATTACTAATGTTCTGTTGTAGCCATTTTTTGGCAGACATGACCCCAAGGGGCCTGAATCAATCTTTCCCGGAGGAAGGGGAGAATGTTCATACTAGGGGAGAGGGAAAGACAGAGGAAGACAGCAAGCAAAAGGTTGATGGCTGAACGATGAGTCGAGCAGCCAGAGGGGTGATGAGAGGACAACGGAGCAAAGTGTTCCCCAGTGCTGTACATGTCCCACCAGTGATGTTCAACACAATCAGCCTCATAAAAACAGATTTTAAGTTGTTCTTAAATCAGCCTCTGTGAAACAAGAGGATCTTTGACATCGCTGAATCACCAAGACGTCATGCATCTGGTCCGAGTTTGCCCACGGAGAATGGATTTCATGCCACAGTGCAGCTGTTATGGAGTATGTCTGAACATCAGACTGGTGCTGCATTGACATGAGCATACGTTCATATCAGATATACTTTTCGTGTTTTTACTAAAGTGTTTTGTAACCAAGGACCAAAAAGGAGTGGAGGTCTGCTACAAAGCAACGGTTTCATTCTACAACTTGATATCCACCATTTAAACAGTTGGCAAATGTGTTCTTGCAAAGAAAAGGAAGTGTGTATTACTCATTTGTTTGAAGTGCCCATGTATTTCTGACATGCTGAATATAAATTCTTTCCATGTCTGCAGAGTCCCAGGGGTAATCTTTTGAGTTTTAATCCTTGCTGTGTGAGCACCTATCAGATGGAGAAGGCAGCACAGCAGCACAATGGATCCTTGAATACCGAATACTGCCTCTGTTTAAAATGTGCAATCCACACAAACCCTGAGGCCAGTGACAACAAGACACAACAGAACTAAGTCACAGAGAACATGCACACACAAGCAATTTACAGTTGAATAAACTAAAAACTATGGGAATACTGAATAATTCACAGGTCAGATGTGAGGAACTGGAGCGTATTATGTCACATCACCTCTGTGACTCCCGCTTACGAGAGCAGCTAAACTACCTGTTAATGGGGTCAGGCTCACTGGGCGTCCCCCCGGCTTGCAAGATCTTGCCTTGTGTTTGTGAGTGTGTGTGTGTGTGTGTGTGTTGTGCTAGGTGGCTATACATAAAACATACAGTGGAAAAGTGGCATCATTCCCTATTTATGCATCTTATAGGCCAACAAACAAATATAAACCGCATGGGGGAAGTGACTCAGCCTGTTAAAGGGAGGCAGAGGAGTCCAGCTGGCCTAGTTTGAGCAAGAACAGGAAAAAAGGGGGAAAGCCTCTTTGCTTTTTTTATCTAGCATGCCGGTGGGCAAGGAGAGGAGGAAATACATCATCTGGAAAAAACCACCGCAGTAACCTTCCTCCAACACAGACAACCACACACCACCCTCTTCCTGCACTTGGGCTATCTCTCCATACTTCTATTTTATGTCACTCCCTCCGTCATTCCTCCTCTACTTATGTCTCTTCTTATCGCTCTCCGTTACTGCCCCCTCAACCTTCCTATCATACTTCATTCCTTCCTGTTCAACAACAACACCCCCTCTTCCCCATCTGATCCATCCTTTAGTCTCACCCCGCCCCTCTCCTCTTTTCCCTTTCTCTTCCTTTAACTCTCTCTGTGGTAAATAGGTCATTGTCTCCGTGCGGCGCAGAACTGGGTCATTTAGGATGAAAACGTGAATCAGTTGGAAAGGGTGTTTAAAGACGCGGCAATGCACACGCGCCTCGTTCAAACACTCACTGCACATATGCACACACACACTTGCAAATGAGGTTAAATCCCTGATTCCAAATGCGAAAACATGATCACCCACACACACACACACTCACACATGGGGCACTGATATGAATATGTTCACTTGGCTTCGCTTGAATCTGTGGGTGTTTACGGCACAAATTGTGCTTTGGGGCTGTTAGTTAGTCAGACACATCGCCAACACTTAAATACAAACAGTTTTAAACACACAGTGACAGATTATGTTTCCTGCTGACTGCAGTTGTGACTTATCTGGACACATGGATACGTAAAGTGTGTCCAGATACAGTACACTCCCTGGCAGTGGGGGTACTTTTCTTTTACCTAGTGATTTAACAGTGACAGCCGCCAGGTGCATAAAACATAGGTGGCATCAGAAGCAGCCAACATATATGTTAGTTTGATGCATTGTTCAGAGACTGAGATCTGAAAACCCATGTTTTGGATGTGTGATAGTACCAAATTCAGCCAAGATATTCTGTTTATATCACTGGAAATTAAGAAAACTAGCTGATGGTCACATTTGAAAAAGTTAATTTTGGGCATTTTTTTTTTTTTTTTAAAAATGAAGGATTCTTTTAATGGTTTATTTTAGATTTCCCACCTGTATAAAGGCAAAAAATGATGAACTCTGAAACACAGTCTGTTGTACTTTTTCTATGTAGATTAATCTATAAATGCTGATCTTTTCAGCCCTGTTCAGTACTTATTATGGTAAATATCAGGATGACTCACTATCACCACTAACAAGTTATTTCACAGTGTCTCGACACATGTTGTATGTGGTGAAATCAAATATTGGGCAGATAGCCTATAGCCCTTGTCAAATGAATGAGGTCATCGCGGTGCAAAGGGAAAGTCACAGGCAGTGAACAGCGTACATTTGTCCATTTTCCACCCTATGAGTCAGTGCTTGCACGCAGGTAATTCCCCGCAGTGTGAATCATCACTTCATCATAACTTTTTAAAAACACATTAAACATTTATATTTGCTAAGTTCAATTTTTGCTGTCAACTTTTTATTTTTTTATTTATTCATTACGCCAGTTTATATGCCAGTATCAGTCAAGTTGTCACTGCATCATACTAATTTCACGAGATGAATAAATGCGTACATGAGATCAAACATTTTATAGCTTCAGTCCTTGTGTCTATCATTAAGTCCTTATATCCTATATCTGACATTAAGAACAAAATGATATCAATGTATGCAGCAGAGCTTAAGATTAGATCATCAGGTCTTGTATTACACTCCAAACAGACGGACCGAGGATCGACTGATGGTGTCACGTCAGTGTCATCAGTACAGCTGCGCTCAGCAGATGGTAACACAGCTTATTTAATGGATACTCTTGGGCTTTACAGCCCAAATCCCTCATTTCACTGTCTGCTCTGCCAAGGTGTCTAAACTGCTGTGAACCTTGTCTCAGCCCGCAACACTTACAAACACACGCACAAGTTAAACATATGGCCAGAGGCATGCTTGTCAAAGATTAACAAACACTTGTCTAAAATTAAAATGCACACCCAGGCATGGTTGAACATTCAAATACAAAAACTGATGCATAAAATCATACACACATACAAAGACAAGGCCAGAAACCCTTCATTCGTGATATTCATGATCTGTGCCAAAAAACATGACCACTATTTTAAAGAGATAAATAAATTATACACAAATAATTACATTGTGAAAGAAATCTGCTTTCTACCATGAATGTGTAGCATACACAGTCAAACACCAGACATTAAACATTTATTGGACATCCGACTCCCATAGGCTTTATTGTACTTGTAACATGCATTATGTGTAAGTTACCTTCCAGATGAGCGCTCCTGTCCTCTATGTCATGCTTCACCTCCTCTACCTCATCCTTCTCTTCTTCTACCCAAGTGCTCGCCTGACTTCTCTCAGGCCCCAGGGGGCCGCCCCTGCGAGCTCTCCAGGCTGCCCTGAGCTGCCGTATGAGAGCTGGAAGTTCCAGGGCCAGCGACAGGCCCCCGCAGGTCACCGGAGGCATCCTCAGAGGCCCCCAGACTGGCGAGCGGGGGGCCTCATCTGGACAGACCCCGACTTCAACCCCAACACCAAGACCAGAGTCCCGCATCCTGAGATCTTGGCCCCAAAGCCCCTCCAGCACTGGCATCCTCACACCGAAAGAAAACAGATGGATGACAGACAGGTGCAAGGAAAGGAAAGATCAAAGTAAACACAGGGTTGAAACTGAGGGAGGGAAGAGAAAGAAGGATGGTGGTGAAAAAGGAAGAGAGATGGCAGAAGGAGAAGCTTACTGTCAGGTAGCCATGGGTGAGTAAGAGGAGAACAGATAGTAGCAAGTCGGGATGTAGGACAGAGGAATAGAGACTGCAGGGAGAGACAGAATCAGTGGCAGGAATGACAGAAGGACAGAGAGAAATGAGTGCAGAGTGATAAAAAAGACTAAAAAAACAGAAGGAAAGGAAGGAGGGAAAAGCCAGAAAAAATAAGTGAGAATCCGTCTCTTTTCCTCCCTCCCAGAGTCAGCCACTGATGGTCTGCTCCTTCCTTCTGCCGCATTCTCTCTCCCCTCTACAGCCTCACTCGCGCCAACGTTGTTGTGGAGTCTAGAAGCCCCTCCCCTCCCCGCTCGCAGCTCGCTTACACACTCTCTCACTCTGCCTATATGCTGCTACACCGATGGCAGACCAATAGGATTTGTGTGAAAGCCTGTGGAGCTCTGGGTTCATGGACACAGACTCTGTGTCATGGTCAGGTCTATGGGAAAACAGCAAATAGCACAGAGATATGAAAATTAGGATTCAACATAAGTCTATCTGTATAGACTTTGCATTTAAAAGCAGATAAGAGCATCAGAATTTGATACAGGGCTACAACAAATTGATTTTTCAATGACGCAGTTAATTGTTTAAAATAAGATGTCAGAAAATAATGAAATATAGTGAAAGAAGTCCATCAAAATTCCCCAGAGCCCAACGCAACCTTTTTATATAGTTTAGACCTAAACCTAAACGTTTTCAACAATGATATAAAACAGAGAAAAGTAGCAACATTTGAGAACGAGCAACACTTTGGTATTTTCAATGAATTACATAAATGATAAATTGATCAACTAATTAATGAATTGTTTCAGTATTATTGTGCGCATAGTTTATCTAACCTTTGAGTATACACGTTTACACAAACGCCTTGTTCCGAGGCACAGACAAAATGTCACAGGTGCAGACTCCGACAGAACAGAATAATCAACTTATTCTGCTTGAAGGTAAAACGAGGTACATGCTGTGAGTCACCCCTCATTAAGGCTTCGCTGGCATAGAAACACTTCAGCGGATTTGTTTTGATTTATTTGTTCTGAATTCCCCTGGCGTGGCGACTAACCAGCCTTGGCTTTGGACACAAGTTGGACTCCTGATAGAAGCAGGACAAGATGTGATAGAAACGATAAATCCTTGGATGATGTTCAAGGAAATGTGAAAGGAAAACGACAAAATCGTCAAATTTATGGTAAGAATGAAAAAAAAAAATGAATTCATACTTGCCTCATCTTGCACTGTTTGTGCTCTACTGAGCCTCATAAAATTAAATGATTTTAATGGCCTTAACTGAGCCGGGTTTAACTCGGATCAACTGAACATTTGTTTGGGACTGAACCACTCTCTTCCTGTTGTCCTCCAGTGTTACAAAGGCTTTCCTGTGGCTGCTGACAACATATTAATTAACATGAATATAATTAAGTGAATTTAAGTAAATAAGACATATTTGTTCCTCTTTACATGCACATAATCATGAAGGATGCAGTGCTATAACCATAAAATTTTTCCAGAGAAATGTTCCCTTGAGAAACAGTCACATGCAGACAGAAGTACTGACACACACACACACACACACACACACACACACACACACACACAGCGGCACAGACAGGCAGGGACAGTCACATAGCCTTGAACGTCACATATCAGACACAAGAAGCTGATTGCAAGAAATCATGAGACAAAGAGCATTAAGATAAAAGATAGAGGCTGTGAGAAAATGTGCAGTGAGACATAATGTACAGCAGGGTGATTCAGTGGAAATTCACTGTGGCTGTGAACTCGATGTATAGTTGTTTTGTTGGAGCTGTGTAGCAGTGGATACTGTAGTATAAAATATGATTTTCTTGTTAGGTGTAGTGATATCATGAGTTTTAAGGCATGTCTCTTACTTTGTACTCGCCAGGCAAAATCTATAATCCAACAGCAAGAACTGGTTTAGACTTGTTGACTTTAAACGTTCAACAAGTTCTTCCCAAATTCTCCCTTTAAGCTGTGAACATAACTTTGAACTGACTATACTGAAATGACTATAATGACTATATACCACAGACCAAACAATTTTTTCAGACTGTTTTTATTTTTTGTCTTCACATATTAAACAACTGAGTAAATATAGACAACACTATGGATGACAGGCAACAAGAAACTTTTCTTGATTCTGGCAGCCCCTCTGGACAAAAGCCGTAGTGTCTCATTTAATTGATTTCAAGGGTAATCTAACCAGTGACAGGGATTAGGAATAATTATATATAGATAGCCAATTTTCTCACTGATGTAAGGTGTGCTGATGTAGGTCATATTAGAGGCATTAGTACTAAATTGAGACTGCTACATAACCAGTTAAAAATTCCTTGTACCAGGTTTAAATTTGGAAGTGGAGGTGAGCATTTTAAGAATGAGGTGATTTTCGGGTGAGCTGTGTCTCTGCACACAAACCTGATGACCTTGATTATGCAATTATTCCGACTAGCAACATGCTGCATGTCTTTAATTGTTGCTGGTATGTTCATGATGCCTAATTATACTTCCAATCGGAGCAGCAACAGGGAAACTATTCTTATTCACTCACAAGTAATTGATAAAAATGTGTGGGGATTCAAAGAGATCACGTCTTGCCAGAACATAATCATACTGTATGTGATTTTACTGGTGAGAACAAGTGAATAAAGCTGCAACAAAATAACAGCAGCAAACAAATGGTGCCAAGATTCAAAACTGTGAATGTGTGAAAAAAAGTCATGTAACAGAAAGTAAGAAAGAGTGAAACAGTGATAATGGCACAGAATAAGAGAAAGATATCAGCGAGTCAACGAGGTCAGTGGGAGTCTGGATGAGTAAACTTGGGAGTCAGCCAGTGGACTGCTGGCTCCTAAGGATCCCTTTCAGACACACACACACACACACACACACACACACACACACAATGCACAGTTTACAGTACAACTGAGATTCCACTCTGTGCTGTGTGTGTTTGTGATTCTCTTTAATGATGCCACTGGCCGTTTTCAGGCCGGTCGCTGTACAGAAGTCGGTCAGCCAGTGAATGAAATAGCCTGTTCATAAAAAAAAAACACATTGTATCTACCTTTTCACTTGATTTATTTGTGCACGCGCAAGTATTTGAACATGTGTGTGCAGATCTTTTTTTGCCCTGGTAATTTACACCTTGTCTTACTGTACCTTTTTTTAATGTAGCTTCACACTTGCATGCAACTAAGCACTTTTTCAGGGAACTTTTAAACAACTTTGACATCAATATGGGGAGAGAAAAAAATTGCTTTAGCTACATTTCAAGGTTTAAGTCTTCAAGGTCTGAGAATGTTATGATAAACAGCTACATTTCACTGTCTCAAGTCCAGACACTACTTCATAAAATATGACTGGAGTAAACCTCAACACTGTTAGAACAAGTTTGACTTTTTCCAGAGTTATGAAACTTAATGTATTGAGCCATTCAACTGGACAGTGTATACAGAGATAGCAGAAATCTGCGTCAGTGTTTGACAGATATTACACTGGACCGAAGGTTAGCGACAGCCTGAAGCACCAAATATTTGGACACATTTTACACTATCGATTTGCAGCTGACTATATATCTTTACAACCTTTTCCACTGAGGTATTCAGGTCAGTTAGCGTTCTTACCCAGCATGCGAACTTGTATGGCATTCTGCTCCGACCTTTTAAATGCGACTGCTCCACACCTCTGTGGCCGAGAGAAAGAGGGAGAGAGAAAGAGAGGCTGAGATTAATATTACAACACCCCAAAATACCCACTGCTATCAAAGAGCATAAATGAACCTCACTAATAAATAGAAACTGTGTGAAAAGTCATGGTGACCCTCTTTGCATGGCTTCACACACAGAAACCTCGAGGATACAGGGTACTAATTCTGATCAAATGATTGTGGCTATTAAATTAAAATCATTTAAATGTAGCATATAAATCAGTGTAATTCATCCTTTAAGGAACCTGTTTAAAGACTATTCATAATTTTAGCGAGTAAGAAAGGTTAGGTGCATTTAGCGACAGTGGCATCTGCTGGTTCTGTAACGACTTGTCTGTGTTGGCAAACAACACTGGAAAAGTGGGTCAGGCAACACGCTGGCATAAACTGGCAACAATTTAGGCATTAATCACATGCTTCCACATGGTTGGTCCTCATGGCCCGGGGTCATAAGTCATCTTTTTTTAGCCATTTTCTATCAAAGGTGTGTTTGTGTTCAAGTTTAACTCACGTGTTTTTCTTTTTTTCTTCAGAAAATACTGGTAACAGACATACTATAATAGATAAATCATTTTTCGATCATAATCTGATCCTACTTAAAGGCTGTTCATAGTGAAACATTCACCATCATTACTGAAAGTTGGTTATATAACCGTGAACTAAAATTAGGGACTGCAACAAAATTATGTTCATTATTGTTTTGTGTATAAAATGTTCAGAAAACTGTTAATTAGGCCCTTAACCATTTCCCAGAGATCAAGATGACATTTTATATTTCCTTGTTGTTTTGTTCCAGAAATATTCAATTAACTATCATATGACAAAGAACAGCAGTCCAAATCAGTTCATTTGAGCAGCTGGAATCTACAAGTGTTTGGCATTGAGCATCATTGAAAAATAACTGTAATGGTAAACTGAATTTCATAAGTGTTACAGTTTAATTTATCCAATGATCGACAAATTGATTAATCCACTAATGGGTTCACTTCTTCTACTTCTGATTCATATCAATCCTCTATTTGTAAGTCTTGCCTTGGCTTATCACCAGCAATACCTTGTCCATCTCTTTTTGATTAGTTAAATTAATTGAATTACGTCCGCAGTGTGGTAATCAGCCATTGCACCCTGATCTGAGTACCTAAGCCCAATCACAACCCAAGTCCTGTGCTGCAGTTCAGCTCGGTACATTTCAATTGAGGTCATCTATTTATAATAGCTAGTAATGGCTATAATAGTTATAATGGCTCAACATCTGTGTGCATAGTGGACTGAGTGCACCAAGCAGAGTTGGTTTAGAGAAACATGAAAGCAGAGGAAGAAAGGAGGAAGGAAAGTAAAGACATAGACACATAACAGATCATATGTTATCTCTTATTATATACACTGGACCCTCTTACAGTGTTCAGTGTTGCCCTCTGGAGAAAGATAGTCATAAAAGTGTACCTTGAGTAGGCGGATTTACGTCTGAATTAGCACACTGCTGTTTACTGGCGGGCAGGAAACGGGTGGATGGAGACAAACCAGAGGCAATGACGCTTCACTCATCCAGCCCACGTGGTTATGGCATGTTTATGAGACGCCCTCCCTGAAATGTTTTTTCCATGATCTCTAGCTCTATGCTCACATCATTATTCACCTCAAGTGGACAGCTCTATAGTCCAAGTCTCTCTTTCTCTTTGCTTATGGCCAGCTGCTGTCAAACAGTTTACATTGGGCAGGTCTGTTCCCTCTATCCTGTATGTTCACCAGAGGATGCAAAAAATTGATTTGGAAGAGGTTTTTTGACAAATTATATACTACTGCTACTACAATGCATGTGTGTGCAGCAGAAACAAACTTTAAATTTAAACATCTGCTGAAAATAGTGCACATTGCTGCTGTAAAACACATGTGTAAACACAAAAATATCTATCTATTTACACACACACACACACACACACACATAAAAAAGAAATGTTTACACAGGGATTTAAATTAGGTTGATAAATTGTAGACCCCTTTTAAAACTCCCATTTAAAATGTTCCAGAAAGAAACACAGTTATATCCAAATGACAAGAGCAGATAAAGGTTAAATGTGTGATAAAACAACATTATAATGAAGTGCTGTAGTGCTATAGAGATTCCCTGGCCTATAAATCCTGTTCTCCAGATGTAAGAAGTCATGCTTGTTTTGTACAGACCCCAACTAATGTCACATCCTCATGATTTTAATAGTTTATTCAGTGAAAATGAAACCTGTGATGCAAAAATGATCATTCCCACTAATCATGAATCATATCACAACATCAGTAACTGTCAAAATAATTATTTTTTTTACCATATCGTGCAGCCCTAATTTAAAATGTTGATAGTAGTAAGTAAATACTGCCTATGGTACACAATAGGCAAGCGATGACACCCCAGCCATCTCCATGACAACCAAGCAAACTTGAGATGTGTAAAGCTCAGCTCATTTAATGCTCAGATATGCTCATTTGTTTTAGACAGAAAAGCCACTCTACATGTACTTACACTGTAAAATAATATTAACAATAACAAACTCCCTTGTTTCCACAATCAAGTTCTTGCACAACCACTTTACATATACTTCCTGTACATATTGTGTATATTAAGATATCTTAAAAGGCATTTGTAACTGTTTTTAGAAGTATACTGTAGCATTGTCTACATGTGGTCTATCCAATGACGTGACACATTGCAATAATACACCAGGCCTACTGTAGCCCATCACTGCAGCTTAAAGATGAGGCAATATATGAAGACGAGTGCACCAAAAACTATTCCTATACCATAAAAAACAAAGGTCACAATAAACTCACTTCTTGGAATCAAAACATTTAGCCCCTATGACAATACCAGGCTACTACATTCATATAATAATAACGCCATAGCATATGACACGCACAAAGTAGACTACAATTCGGTTATTATGAACTCTCTTTGGGGCACTAAAGCCACTTTATAGGTCCCTACAGGCACACTATATGAATGTAATGAATGGTTTTTCGTTTTGACAGGCCTATTCCAATACAACTCTGTGTGTACAACAAGCCTGAGTGTGTGTGTGTGTGTATCCTTCTGGTCCATATAGCGGTAAAGACACAGTCTACGTACCTCGACCATTAAAAGGGACATTTAACCATCGTGGCCGCTCGTGGACAGCAAGTGAATGCGACGGAATGAGGCGCGTGCGGAGTGTTGTCATGTCACGGGAAGCGCACGAGTGAGCCGCATACAGCAGGACGAAAGGTGACTGTTCCCCGACTGACACCTGTTAATAAAAACCTTTCTATTTCATCCTCGTCCCGCGGTTGTGTGTGCCCGTACTCGCACTGTGAGGACAGTGTCGGCTTTCTAAATGAGGCAAGGTGAAGTTTCCGCCCGCCGCCGCCGCGCCAGGGTCCGCGTGCTTGGTTGTGAGCCGCAGAGAGAGGAGAGAGGAGGGGCTGCGTGAAGCATCACAGGGGAGGGACCTGTGAGGGGAGGTGGGCCAATCAGCGCTCGGTACAATCACCGATTTTGAGAACAATTGGTTGTTCTCAATTAAATAGTGCTTTATTTTTGAATATTTTACTATGAGACAGAGCGTGAGGGAGATAGTTTGCAAAGGGGTATTTCCCAAATAAAAGGTTGTTACTGGCATGCGACCAGGGCCAGATCAAGTCACTAGGGGGGGCAAAAGAGCTGTGGGCCCCTGTTCATCCCATTATTTCTCAGATTCTCTGTACATTGTTCAAATCAAATCAAATTAAGTTTATTGTCACAAAAACAACACTGTGTACACACGACAAACTATAGGATATTGTAATTCTTCTGTGCCTAGGTCCAGAACAAATCTAACAAAAGGGTGAATTAAAAGGAAATTATTAAAATAAAATAAAATGAAATAAAAATGAAAATAAAATGAATGGTAGACAGACAGGTAGGCCAGCCAATTATTTTATTATGGGCAAATTAAATGATTGGCTTATTACAGGCTTGGACAACCACAGATACCAGATTTTTTTTTTTTTTTTCAGGAATATTTGATTTAGGCCTATTGAGTGCTGCCAAGATTTAACCAAAAAATGCTTCTGAAATACATCACCTACCCTCGCTTTAACAAGAAAGCTACCTAACAACCAGGTGGTCATGGATCTTCTTATTACGTAAGGATCACAGTTGTCCAAACTTTTCTCAAAATTCTATGTGTTTATGAACATGATCGATATGTGTATGGAATTTGGCAATTTCCATCTAATTTATTATTCTGAATAATTTTATATCTTGTGGTAGTTATCAGTTGTGTTCAAACAATCAACACACACAGACATTTCATTGTGATTTCTGCCTCCCAAGGGCTCACAACACATTTGTTGAACTCAACCTTCATTTCATCATGTAGATTTTGAGCACATATTGGCGCAGTTTTGTTCCCAGGAAAGGCAGAAATTCTAGCAGGATTTATTTCTAAGTAGACCAAATGGCAGAGTGAATCTGTCAAGGTTTAGTGAAATAACACTCATCATCACGTTACATAAGAAAAAAAAAAAACAGGCTTCTAGCGAAATGTGTTAATATAGAGTCAAACGTCCATATAGTTCAGGCAACTGTTTATATCCATGTTTGGAACAGAAAAGGTCTCATAATCTGGCTCTGCAGGCAAAGCAAAAACACAGTAATTTGGTAAACTAATTTAATTAATTCAGTAGAAGTCGTTTTAGAAGAAGTTATTCCCAACTACATTAACCAGACTAGAGTCTGTTAAATATTTTAAAACTTTGGAAAATCCCATATAATGTGAAATGTATGTTTGATGAAACTAAATACAGCATGGCCGTGGGCTCCATTGCAGAGTATGTATCATACAACATTAGTATGCATCAGCAACATGTAGTGTTCTTATTTCTTATTTGCAGGTAAGAAAGAAAGAGTTGAGTGTATCTGTGTATGTTTGTCTTCCTTTCTTTATTTGTCTGTCAAGATGTATCTCAAAAATGTTGCAAAACAGTTCCACTAATGCAACAGATATACATAGCAAAGATTATCTGAGATGTTTTAACCTCACTGTTTAGTGTAATCTCTGATTAGTGCTGTCTGTCTTATAGTTTAAGTACCTTTATGGAACCAGATCAAAATTAAATACAGGGAGAAGCTGCAGCAACAGTTGTTTAAACATGATAACGCAATATTGGAACACAGAGATGTTAGTACTGCAGTTTCAATGGGCTTTTGGATAGTGAACAGATTGCCATTACTTTATTATGCAAGTATATTTTTTAAAAGGAAAAAAAATCCAGCCACCATATGCTGAGTTTGCACATATGGGGTTAGGGTGTTCTTCACCACAATTGTGGTGAAGAGCAAAGAACTGCTCACTCTGACCTTTGGGACGCCTATGAACAACAGAATTTCAGAAAAAGTCAAGACATCAAGAAAACCTTCTATAATGGACATGATTGCTTTGTAAAAAAATGTTTTATTTTGTAAAATAGATTAAATGCAGTCATAAAACAACATGAAAGTATTCTCTTGATAGGCAATACTGACATCTGCTGGAAAATAGAAGTACATGAGTGAGGCAAGGTCATTCAAAGAACTAAAACTGTAAAACACATGTACGTGCTGCACCATTAACTCTGGTACATACTATACTATTACTACTATACATTACTATACTACTAATGTACTATACATTAAATAGTAGCATTTATGTTATGTTTAGTGCTGTACATAGTGTCCCTTACAAATAATTCACTTCTTGTCTTGGATTTAGTCATATGTCACATATTCTGTCCACCAGAGGGTTCAGTGAAAGGAAGACATCAGAGGAGTTACTTACGGTAAAGTACTGTGCCCTGGAAAGAATCATATGTAATTGAGCCAACAAATGTTACTTACAAACCTTATTCTAACTGACTATTTGGACCAAATTCTAGTTAGTTCTCTCATTTTTAAAGCCTTCACAGGTCTTAAAGTTATTCCAGACGAAGTTATCCACCCATTTCAGGACAGCAGGCTAAAAATGGTGAAGAAGAAAATGTCTGTGTGTGTAGATATGTGTGTGTGATGTGCATTAGTTGTGCATATATTTTACCTCGTATTTGTAGGATTTGGAAGTGATGAAGATAGGAAGTGTGAAGTGTCATTTTGGGTGAATGTTTATGTCTTTGTATGTTGTATAACATACATAATATCATACATAATAATATTTAACACAGCTCAGCAAGAAATATCCTCACAGGATGTGGGTAACAAACTTGCAGGCTGCAAACTTGTTCTGCTGATGATCCTATGCTGTTTTATATCCTGTTACCTTGAAATACAAAGAAAAGCTGTATGAGCTGTATTTTGTAAGAGAGTGAGGTGTTAAATGTAATATTTAACAGGAAATATGAAGGTATTAAAATGTAATTACTGGATAAATCTTGCAGAAAGGTTTAAAATAATATGACCAAGATGCTTTTATTTTTTAATAAGGGGCCATAGAGAGCCCATGAAATGCTGAAAGGGCAAAAAATTGTCTTATTGATACTTTTCTTGTCAATCCTTTCATGTACATCAATGTTTTATTAGTGGCACTAGTGTCCTGTAGTACAAATAAGTGATAAAGTAATGTGATTTATTTTAAACATTATATTGTTTCTTGTATCTTTGGTTTTACTGTGCAAGAGAATATGTCTTTTCAACACATACTTTAAGTGTCTTGTGAGTTGAGTAAGTTAGGCATATTGGTATGGATTTTAACATTTTTAAATCTAAGACTTTTAATGTCATTCAAACATCCTGTAAGGGGTTCATCATTGGGTGTGTTTGTGCAAGAGCTCTAATTGAATCTATAACAGAGCATAACCTTAGCTACCACCCATGCACTGACAATACTGTACATGCCTTCTGCACTTCAGTCTGGTTGTATTACTGATGCACAGTATGGTAAATGTATACACAGTCACAAAATATGTTTTTAATTTGAATTAGATGCTTTTTAAATAGCAAAATTGTGTGTTTTGGAAATAAGTTCAGATTTACTTCCAGTAACAAAGTTACAGTGAACAAGTTTGTGTGTGCCTGCTTGTGAGGGATGTATGTTAGGACATACTATACTATGCTATTCTAAATGTATTTATCCAAAAATCATCAAGGAAAATGATAATCTGACCCAGTATTCTTGCCATCACAATTTGGCCCTTGTCAAAAGTCCTTAAATCCTTACTCTGTCCCTTTTTCCTGCTTCTAAGACATCAACTTTGAGGACAAAATGTTCATTTGCTGGCCTAATGTATCCCACCCACTGACAGGTGCCATGGTAACGAGATGATCACTGTTATTCATTTCACCTATCAGTGCTCATAATGTTATGGCTGATCGGTGTAAGCAGCAAAGGCAGAAGCATGAATTTGCTATTACATGTAAAAGGTGATGGTGGAACGTTAGGTGTGAAAAGCACATCTAAAAAGTCACATCTCCTCACAAAAGGGGTTGGTTTGTGGGTTGCATCGCAAAGTTTCCGTTGAGAACTGAAACAGAGAAACTTGCTCATCTGTGGCATGCAAAAAGGGAAAATACAGAAGCCAGACTTCATTTCTGTTTTTCACCATAGGAAAGGAGCTGGCCTCTTGTTGGGCAGTGAAATGATCTTAGATGGTATAATTCAGAAGATATCTCTAATAGACGTCAAATAGACATAGACGTCTCTAATCCAGCTAATGAGGATGGATGTTAATCTTCTGTTTTTTTCTCTCAGCTAAGAGGGTGGATCAACATGTACCAACCTGAACAGAGGAAAACCTATGTTCTGTATTTAAGAAAAGGTATGTATGTTTTTCATTTTAGGTTTTTAGGGGGTGATGAAAAACAATTTTATGTAGTTAATTTGGGAACACATGTTAAATCATATGTCATCAGCATATAGGGGATATCTGGGCGGAAATGTCCTTTAAAGTTAGTGGTTAAGGTATTTTTAATGGAAGGAGAAAGGTACTTAATAGGCAATATTTCACAGTATTATTTTAGGTGTTAATGTGTTAATTGCTAACGGTGTTAATATTTGCCATTGTAAGAGAAATACATATAGATCGATTATTCCTTCTCTAATAAATACCAAATAAAAAAAACCTAAGCCAAGAAAAGTGTAATTTAATTAAACAGCACTTTTAAATGTTCAACATTGCTAAATATGAATTAATGTAATATTGCATACGGTACGTAAAATTAACGTGGTCTGACGAAACCACGTTGGTGCAATGCGTCATACGTTTGAGTGAAAGAAGGAAGAAACAATGGCGTCCTTCAACCGTGTAAGTTTAAACATTTTAAACTAAAATGAACGTACCCGTACGAGAACTTTGTAAAGTATGTGGAAGTACAACAATTTAGGAAGCTACTGTTTGTATTTGGATGTGTATTAATTTTGACCCGTCCTGATCAGAGTCAAGTCTGTTCATTTGATCGAAACACTATCATTGCTAGCATGTTGACAAATTCAACATTAATTTATGCAAAATGCTGTTAACGTGGTACAAATTGGTATCATAATATGGGCATTATGTGATACATTTCATTTTCATAATACATTTTTGATGATATTGCAGTTTTCTATCGAGTGTGTGGACAATCCTGATGGACTTCCTGGTATAATTGTCTATGACGATAAAACATTCCCCATTTCTTCTCAAGAAGTAAGGTTTATACCATTTAGTTTTAAGTGCACAGTCAAAAGCTATTTAAATAATTGGTCTTGTGTAATGTGTGTTATTTGTTTTGTTTTGTTATTTCCTTCATGGCCAGGATGGCATCAGGCTGGCTGCTTCTGATGATGGACAAGGCCCTTACAGGTAAAGAAAAGCAAATTTATATTTGTATTGCAACTTTCAACAAGGCAAGTTAAAATGCCTTCAGACTTAAAGGCATTAAGACCACATATAAAAGAAACGCATACCGTAAAACTTCAATTAAATGTTTTTTTATTTGCTTCAATCACTGAACTCAGCCATTTGAAACAGGTGTATATATAGGATGTGCTTAATTCCTTTTGCACAAAATTCTTAATCAGTAAAGATGGGATATACAATCAGATTGTTTATTTAAACCAGTATTAATATTCCTTGTATCAAAATTTGAAAACTATGCATTACGAATCATTATTTTAAACATTTGCTACTTTGGTGTTTATGGTTTCCGTAAAATGAATTGAACAATTAATTGTGGAGAATCTAACTGATATAAAAAGGTGTGACACCTGGGGCCAGATGCATAAAACTCTGTAGCTTTATGACTGTGTGTAAAGACAAAGGTAGAAATATGCATATGTATTCTTTTCGTCCGATTTATAAAGCTGCATGTATGCCTGATTCTGTTTATAAATCTCAATCATGGTCGAAATGAGCTTAATTTCCAATCCCACAATTATAAATGGAAGTAGAAACTCCCTTAAACCAACCATTTGCATACTGATACTTGTGCCCGGTCCATCACTCATTTGTCAATGAAAGGACCGATGAAAGGAACACTGAGAAAAAAAAGCGATCGCAACGCATTTGGCGAGGTTCTCTAAGAATATAGGGACAGCTGTCATTACATGCAACCATTAGACACGTCTGTGGCGATTTATAGCACCCCTACCACTAACTCATGTACCTATAAACCAACTGGCACATTTTAATCACACATTCTTTAAAAAAAAAAAAAAATTATGTGTGGGAAAAGGCTTACACATGGTTTTTGTGTGTACATTTCACTTATACATCTGGCCCCAGGCATTTAATTGAGACCTTATTTTATTTGTCAAAACGAATACCCACTCCTGGCTTGTAAATAGGACCTGCATCTAATTGGGACCCTGCTTTGTCTTTAAGTTTTACAGTAAATGTAATTTAAATGGATTAAAACAAAGTAAAAGTATTTGAGGGTTTAAAAAAAGCTAAAATAGATTAGATAGACTAAATACACACTTGTACATGCAATATGGATTTTTAATAGTAATATTCTAATCAATATATGTTTATACTAAACTGAACCTATCTTATGTAACTATCTCTGTGCAATTGTTGCACTGTACAGTTCTGTAAGACCCTTCCAAGTCGCCCATGCCATGGACAGGGATCCTCCAGAGGCTGACATTAATTCACTATACAGGTAAAAAAGAAGAGGTCTTCTTTCAGTCTACAATCAGATATAGGCTTTTCCTGGGGGCTAGTCATTCATTGTCTTGCATTTTACTGCTTTGAGTCAATTCCATTTCTGCTATGCTTTTTCTTAATACACAGTACACAGTTAAGTAAAGTATTTGACAATTTGTCAGTCCAAAAGGGGTCGTGGACATGTGGTGGAAAGTAGGCTAATTCTAAACTTCTATGTTGTATTTTCCACAGTCTTCAAGAGGAAGAGGAAGAGGAAGAGGAGGAGGAGGAGGAGGAAGAGAATGAGTGGAGAAGGCTACAGCCACCAGGCATACATGCAACTTGTGTATTTAATGAATTTCTGATATATTATATTTTGTTTCACTACATTTTTTTCTTTCTTTTTTATTATTGGGATATTGTAATTGCTACAATTAATGGTGAGGAGCTGGTTTACTATGTGATCTGGATAACTTTGCTTATTGAGTTGATCCCAGTAGAGTTATTCAGGTAACTCAGACCTGCTTCATGAAACCTGACTTTTTAAATTGTGTAAGGGGTTAAAGGCCAATTACAGCCAATTTATTGTGACAAACAATGTAAAGTATTACCTTTAAAGGCACTGGGGCATACAAAGCTCTCTGAGATTAAAATAGGTTAATCTGTTAAAACAATGAAACTCTATGTCAAGATACTAATGTAAATAAATGTTGCTTGTAATCTCATCAAGAGCCTTTATTTTATGGAGGGCAAACCACTCAAAATCCACACAGTAAGACATTCACAACTGATTACTTACACATTCCTATGGATTAAGGGATAACGAACGGCGTAGTGTCCATTATCAGGAATTAGTGTGCGGGGACAGTTGCCTCTGCAGAGTCCATTAATTCCTGATTATGGACACCTCAAAGGACATCAAAATCATACATTTTTTTTACAAGCCATAACTCTTTGGTAGCACTTGTTGGTTGGACTAATATTTGGAACAATCATTACCATTCCATAAGGTTCTAATGCAATGGAAACATTGTTCACTACTGGAGATATTTCTTGTTCCCTCCGCTCATAGAACCCTTTGGATCAGCTACGAGCCAGAGAGCTAACAGAACAAGAGTGAAAGCCAATTACACTGCGTATGGCTGATAAATGGTAAATATAAGACACTATTAACCAACAAAACTACCTAGTTGTTGTCCCCAAATCAATATCAAGATTTTCACAGACAACAGGACATGTACTGACAGCCACAGCCTAAAGTAGCAAGTGGACGGGATGTGAGAGGATTATTTAAACAAAGTAAGTTCAGAGGGGCTGTGTAGGTGCTTGTGTCGCCATCCTGTGGTGTTCAGAGGATGAGCCACTGAAGGACTACACTCATTGTTATGAGATATATAGCTAGATTTAGTTTTCATTCAATTCATTTAGAACAGTGAACAGACAGTTTCACTTGAACTACTGAGTAGGTGTTCTATATTAGGTATTAATAGACAGCAAATAGCACACTTCTATTTCATGTGGACTTTAAAAATTGCACAGCAGAATATTTTCTTGGTGTATATCTGTATATATATACTGTATGTATATAAATAACTGGATATACAATTTTTTTTCAACTATTTATTAATTATTAAATGCATCAATTCATTCATTAATTTTGTTCTATGACATAAAATATGTCAGTAAATACCCCACCCATGAACTCTGATTTAGTTGCCTAAGTGTTTTCTGCAGTTGGGTTGAGAACTGAAACAGATCAAATTGCTGATTTTTAGAATTCTAATTGGGGAAAGCAGAAGTATTTGCATTTTGACATGTATATGTCCATGTTTCCATCAGAGACATTTATTTATTCACTGGGTGTGAACAAGTTTATTCGGTATGAATCAGAACATAGAATTCTAACCACAAAGTGAAGATGATACTTATCTGTAATCTTTCTCAGTTGAGATAGTGGATCAAGGCAGACCAACATGAATGGAGGGAAAGTCTCTTAAACCTTTTGCACAAGAATCTCAGGAAAAGAGGTATGTTGTTTTTGCCAAAATTTATTTACAAACAAAGAAATATAGCTATATAATGTTGTCCTACATGGTGATGTCTGCTTGGGGTTAATTATACACCAGTGAGTTAAACCTCTTGTGAACAAACTGTTAGAAAACTTAAATAACAGAAGTCCAAATAGACTTTATTTATTCCTATATTCTCACCAGACTACATTGGTAGAGGATAGACCTTTTTCACAGTAGCCATTTTGACATGAAATAGTCGGGTAAACACAGGTTTTGCCAATGATAACTAATTAAAGTTCCATTCAATTTAGTGTAAAGTTAGTGTCAGCCCCCTGACTAGAAAACACAGTGATGATCAGAAAGAAAGAAAGAAAGAAATGTTAAAACCTTTGGAGACGATTAAGTCGAGACTTATTGTGTGTGGGCTCCAGGACAGTTATTCAGAATACAACGCAGTTCTTTAGTGCTGCTATCCCTAGGAGCCTGCTTCTGGGTGTGGGTGGGGTCTACTGTACAAGGCAGTAGGTCCATGCCTAACAGGAGAAAGAAGAGGCTACTGGGGGTAGCAGTAATGGGGCAGGGACCCTGTCTGTTCTAGGGATCTTCTCTCCTGTCTGCACTGATGCCAGTCAGATTTCCTTGGTGCTGATTTGAATGGCAGTGATTCTAGATGCAACAGCACAGCTTAGTTGCACTCATTAACATCACAGTTAGTTCCTTAATCTCTGATCTGACACACTGATATAATAATAAATAACAATAATATATAAATAATTTTAGTCTTGATTTGAAGAGTGTGAGAGAGTCCAGGTTCCTGAGGTCCGGTGGGAGTAAGTTCCAGAGTTGAAAGCCCTGCTCCCCATGGTGACGAGGCGGGCGGGAGGGACAGAGAGGTGGACAGAGGAGGCAGATCTGAGGGAACGGGAAGGGGTGGCGATGTGGAGTAGTTCGGACAGATAAGGAGGGGAAAGGTTGTGGATGGCCTTGAACGTAAACAGGAGGATTTTGAAGTTTATGCGGAGTTTGACCGGGAGCCAGTGGAGTTGCTGCAGAACAGGGGTGATGTGGTGGATGGAGGGGGTTCTGGTGATGATTCGAGCTGCAGAGTTCTGAACCAGTTGAAGTTTATGGAGGTTTTTTGTGAGGTAGGCCGAAGAGAAGGGAGTTGCAGTAGTTGATGCGGGAGGTGACAAGGCTGTGTACAAGAATGGCAGTGGAGTGGGGAGAAAGGGAGGGGCGGAGCCGATTAATATTGCGTAGGTGGAAATATGCAGACCGGGTGATGTTATTGATATGGGATTGGAAAGATAATGTGTCGTCAAGGATGACACCCAGACTCTTAACCTGGGGGGAGGGGGAGACAGAGGAGTGGTCGATGGTGAGCTTTTGAGAGGGTTGATTTAGTGCCAATGAGAAGGAATTCTGTTTTATCACTGTTTAGTTTGAGGAAGTTGGAGGAGAACCAGGATTTGAGCTCGGTGAAGCAGTCAGTAAGGGAGGAAGGTGGGAGAGTGGAATTGGGTTTGCTGGAGAGGTAGAGCTGAGTGTCATCCGCGTAGCAGTGAAAATGGATGTTGTATTTGCAGAAGATATTGCCAAGGGGAAGGAGGTAGATGATGAAGAGAAGGGGCCCCAGGACAGAGGCCTGGGGCCCGGGTGGGAAGTGAAGAAGTGGAAGTGAACCAAGGGGCAGAGGTGGAGAAGGAGACAGACCTGGTTTTCATAGGAGCGAGAGAATTAAGAATGGTGTTGAGGCCATTGTTGTAGTGGGAAGCCAAGTCATTGGGGTGGATGAATTGTGAGTGTTCAGGAGACAGCTGATACCTGAGGAAAGTGCATCATGATTAATTTTCTTAATGTTACAGAATTGATGCCATTCATTCTGCACTCATCCTGTGAGCGCCCTCATATGGAGCCAGAGTGGAACTGCAACAGTTCAGAAGCCGGAAGTATACAGAGAGTGGAACTTCTCTCCTTATTAGACATTCTCTGACTGCATTAATTAAGCAAGCTAGGAAGTTAGCTCACATGTTTAGCTAACCCATGTAGTACCTCCACTTATATGGACGCCTCTCTTTTCTTTGCTGTTCCTTTGCCTTTCTTGCTAGATTAAAGGACACATTTGTTCTTTTTATACTTTCATTGTAACTGAACTCACAATTCATTCATACTGAAATACATTTATTTGTATTCAAGGGAATTATTTCTTGATATTCTGTTAGCAGTTACATATACTGACTGTAATGTGCATTGACAGCAGTATTAATGGCTTATTTCATTTATTGCAGAAATCATGTCAAACTCAGCTTTAGAAAAGAATTGAAAGGGGTGCTTTGGGTCTGTGTTGTCATTGTCAAAAAACCATGTGACAAAGGCCTGTGCTATGTGCTTAAATAAATAGGAAATTCTATTTAATATACTCAGATCAATATGAGACGATTATAAAATTAAGTTCTGTGTTTACAGGATTAGAAAATTAACATAACTGCAGTGTTAGATAGTGGTTACAGGCAGTTCAATGACTGCAGTGTCAAAAAATGTCCTCCTTAAAACACCCTCCTGCTCCCACTCCCTGGTATTTTTCCACAACATAGTCTGGATGGAACTTTTTCAATCTAGTTTGAGTTTGAAAAGCTAAAGTTCCTCGAGTGTATAAGATATAGTTGAACTTTCTCTCACTGAAGTAGTATTTGGGAGTTACCTCATAATGGTTTTTGGTCTGCTGGCACCAAAGGAACTCCATGTAAAGATACTTTACTTTACTGGTAAAACTCAATATTAAATCTTTGCTCAATCTGAACTACATTAAGAAAGATTTGAATTGTATTAACGTAGTTTTGAAAGGTTAAAGTGAAGACACAAAGCATTTTTAACAAGGTTGTACCTTGTTAAAACTCAGACAAAATAAGTGTGACTTCAAAACATGAGCCTTCAATTCAAATCCCATCTCTCACAGTTAGCATATTGGATTTTTTTCAGGAAGGAAATGTTTTTCTAAACTTGAACAAGTGGACTACTTTAAGTTTCCTGAATTTATTATGCAAGGCTGTTTTTTTGTGTGGTAAAATGCAGAAGTATTTGTCCCACAGACATTTCTTCATTCATCCCTTTGGGTGTGAACAAGTTTAGATGGGATGAACCAGAAAAAAGAATTTCAACCAAAAAGTATAGACATTATTTATCTATAATTTCCAGACAGCAGACCAACATGAATGGAGGGAGAGTCAAATTAAGTTAATATTTTGGATGATTCACAGAAGTCACCCAAATTGACATGAAAAAGAGGTGACATTCGCTGAAAAGTGAGTTGTTTGCATCCCTGTATATATATATATTTATAGATTGTTTCAACTACTTGTATGTGTATGATAGTTAGCTAATTATGCTTAACTTTGTTCCGATTCGTCTTACTTGTTCTTAGTTGTATGTTTATTTCTGCGCAAGTATATTGAAAGCAGATTAATTGTATGTTTACATACATACTTGGCTGTGAGCCTTCAATTTAAATCTCCTACTAACAGTTAACATATCGATTTTGTTTCATGAAGAAAATCTTTTTCTAACTTTGATCAAATGCAGTAGTTTAAGTTCCTTGAATTTTTTAAGTGCATAAAATGCAGAAGTAGGACTACTCATTCCCGTCTTTGGGTGTGAATAAGATTAGACTGGATGAATCAGATGTATAGAAATAACTGATCTTTAACATCTCTCAGTTGAGACAGTGGACTTAAGCAGACCAACACGAACAGAGGGAAAGTCCGATTAATGTTTTTTACAAGGATCTCATGAAAAGGTATGTTTTGCCAAAATTCATTTACAGACAAAGAAATATTTAATATGTTGTCCTACATGGTGATGTTATGTATGTTTGGGGTTAATTAGATCCCAGGGGGGCTAACTCCCTGTCAGACAGCTTGTGAACAAACTGTTAGAAAACTTCAGTAGTCTTCAAAAGTCCAAATAGACTTAACTCCAAACGATAAGGCTGAATTATTTTGTGGTTCACAAGATAAAATTAATAAAGACTAAAACTAAAACGTTTTCACATTTCTGTTAAGTGAACACCTATACATTCAAGTTCAATCTTGACAGGAGACTTAGATACCTTTTGTATAATAGAAGCGTATCATCTCTGTCACATGACATGATACGCATAACGTGAGTCGCCTATTTTGTGTGTACCCAAATTTAAAATGGCGGCCGGTCACAATATAAAGCCAAGCGTGGTTGTAAGTTACTTTCAGCACTACATATTACTTACAAGACTTATAATTATGTCCAAGTCCAAGCTGCTTAAATAGTTACAGTAGGAATTTTCATGTGTGCCGCATTGCAAAACTGGTCTGAATCAGAGTTGCGGTTGTAGCAACGTTGTAACGAATGTTAGACTAGTCATTGTAACATTAAGAAATGTCCGTCAAGATAGTTACAATGCATTTATTTTTGATTGTGTTGCAGATTCAATATTGTAGGAATGTTGTGGTGATTACCGTTCCCCCTGAACAAGTAAGGTTTCAACCATTTTGTTGTGCACATTAAAAGTAAAATTAAAATATCTTCCAGTACAATACATACATATTGATGTAGTTTGATAAATCTTGATGTAGTTTAATGTATGCATTTTTAGGGGGCTGCTTTTGGTTCTGGACCTCACAGGTAACTGTAATTTACATACATATCCACTATACTGTCAACTTTAATGCTTTCCTGAATTACTGTTTGTCTGGTCACCTGTTGATGCCACTAACATATTTGATTTAGGCTACTTGTCTCTCTGTGTACTATAGTTATGTAGCACCTATCCAATCCCCTAATTGTGAGGATGAGGAGACTGCCATGGACTGTGATCCTCCAGAGACTGGAAGTCATTTAATGAACAGGTAAAATGAGATTGAATCTCTTCTAAATAAATGTACATTTTATTTTTTAGACCTTTTTTTTTTTTTTAACAAATATTGATTCCATCTATGCATGCATGTTTTTATTTTATTATTACTTTATTTAATAAGAAAAGGTGTCATTGTTTTTTTTTCTAAAAGAATAGTGCTCTGGCCAAAGTAGGAAGCAGTAACAGTGAGTTATAGACTAATGTTACTTAGTTGTAATGTTGTTAATGAAAGGCCTAGCACAATGATTGGTCAAGTTATATATAAGGTGTCAGGTGGTTGCAACTTGATAATGGTTTTAAATTAGAGTTAAAGATGGGGTAAGTGATTCTGGAGAAATTCAATATAATGACAAATAGTACATATATATATATCTATATATATAGTTTGAACTTGTGACACAGCAAGTAATGTAACTACCATTAGCTATGTTGTGGATTTGCTTACTGTTGCTAAAGTTGCTGCTGTGTGGCTACACACAGTAGCTATCCTGGTAGAGTGTGCACCCCTTGTCAGAGGAGTCTTTACCACAGCGGGCTGGGGTTCAATTCCAGCCTGCAGCCCTTTGCTGCATGTCGCCCCTCCCCTCTCTCTCTCTCCCCCGTTTTCTGCCTATCTTCATCTTTCATATTAAAAATAAACGCTTAAGATAATAAAAAAGCATGTCTTGGATTAGAATAGCATTTTCTAGAATTGCTTACCCCACCTTTAATGGATCCTTGTTGCCTTCATCAGCTAATGGAACTGGTGCAGGTGTTTCAAGTGTGCACTAAAATGTATATGTATGGACATTAGCATACTCAATGGCCCACTTTCCACTGGGGATAGACATTATTCACTATTAATGGATCATCATCATACTAACAGGTTTAGTTTATGAATGGCTTACTAAAGGCAGATTTTTCCCTTGCAGCAATGTGGCACCACCTGGATCCTCCACTGATGCTGATGAAGTGCCCATGGAGGTAGACTAACAGCTGTAAGAAAACCAAAGGTAAGTTATTTTCTGTGCCATGGCACATCAATGGCTAATGATACATTAGGGGCATTTTTCCCAGTTTCTCATGCAACTTACTTTTGATCACTCACACTCATGCCACTCACAATGACTGTAATGACGTATGGTATTAGTGCCTCAGATTTTTTGACACTGCCAACCAATATCATCTCAACAACACTAACAACCTGCTTCCATCATGAACTTTGTCCCATAGTCAAGTGGAATTATACTCATGTAGTTATGACCCTCTGACAGGCCTGGGTTTGAGAGTGGAAATCAAAACTTAACCGCTGCTTTAAGGGCTCTCAGCCAGTAATGTTAACATCTGAGTTAGGCTACCAAGCAAAAGAAAATGCTTAATAGAAATTATTTAAGAAATCAAGTGGAGTATAGTGAAAGTTGACAGAAATATAGAAATGTTATAGTCCTTTCAGGTGTTAATTTGGCTTTCCTTTGTGCACTTAAATTTTTTTTTGTTTTTCATGCATTATTTGTCTTACTAAACAATATTTAAATGTAGAACAAGCACACCTTGTACATACTTACATAGGCATAGGAAAACTAAGTTACATACTGTAGGACTTGTCAGACAGCAGTGGACTGAGTTACAGATTAATTGCAGCAGTGGTGTAGTGGTACCTTTTCATGAGGCTACATATGACTGCATATAAGATTATTATAAGATTTTGTAACTCAAAACTTTTCTGGTATTTCTTGCAGTCTTGAAGAAGAGAGGCAATGAAAACTTACTGAAGACTTCAGCATCTACAGCAACATTAGCAGCTCTGTGACGCTGAACATTTTTTCCATCTCTACCATCACATATGGGACTGCAGCATAAACCAATAGCTGTTAAGACATTTCACACAAAACCTCAAATGTCAACTCCACGATGACACTAGAGGTAAAGTCAGAACATCACCAATTCATTGTGACAACCATGTCTGTGTAAAATGTCATGACAATCTATTGAATGGTTGCTGATTTGGACCAAAGATGTCCTGAGATGCTAGTGTGGCTGAAACAAACAAAACAAAAAACTATGAACCTGTTATAATTTACTGTAACAGAGAATATGGGAATGTAACATTTCAACAATATTTCTTGATTATATCAGAAAGCATTTTTAGGGATTTCCACACATTGAGAGGAGGTAATGTGCTGTTGAACTTGCCAAACTGCTTCAGGAGCATAACTACCACCCCCTAGGCTGTATTGTGGCGCTTATGCTGATTTGCATGTAAACAATGCAGTTAGATTTAAGATGTGGCTAACAGAGATGTGGCTAAGTGTAACAAGCAAAAGTGGGGACTGAAGTACTGTAGATGGGTTTGCCTCTTATGATAATTATGTATTTATAATGTCAAGTCCGTTTACATACATAGGATAGGGTACTTTGCCCCTGCCGCCAGCAGTGCCTTAAATAATAACACCTACTTACATATGACACCAAAAAGGACCCCCCACCAAGCTCAGAATGTAACTTGAACCCTGCTTCTAACAAATGTCATCTTCCACTCTGTCACATTGTCAAGTTGAATTGTTTAATTACTCACATTTCCTGTATTGTAAGACATGATCTTTTGAAAAAGTTAAAACAATCATGTCATGTCTGTTCTGTTCTCTGAATGTTGTGGCACTGATTAAAGTGGAACAAATTAAGAAGCCACCTCTGTGCCTTTAATTTTACCCATGAACTGCAGTTAGGTTTAATCTTAACCAACTAACATTTACAAACCACATCTCTGCATCAGCTCCATTAGTGAGCAGCTGTGAGGTGGCAGTACTGCAACACTGTGCAGCTATTGCATTAGAACAAAAAAGGGTAATCAAATGTTATTTTTATGATGAGTGTTACTTAAAGCCCGTAAGTAACACTCATCATAAAAATAACATTTGATTACCCTTTTTTGTTCTAATGCAATTGATCATACATTCATATATTCCCTTCACAGTAATTATCAACAACATAATCTCATGGATTCTCATGGGTTCTGGTGGTACCTGCTGCTAATATTTCTCATATTATTATTATAGTTACTATTATTACTATTATTATTGTTCATTGTCCCCCATTGTTGTGGCTGTTTTCGTCATCATCTTCTATTAGTATAGTTGTTGCTGTGCACCTTTGTTTCTGTCTCTTTGTCTTTACCTCTCTACGCTCTCCAACTGGTCGAGGCAGACAGCCACCCACCTAGAGCCGGGGTCTGTCCGAGATTTCTGCCCCAAAAAGGAAGTTTTTCCTTGCTGCTATCGCCAAGTGCTTGGTCATGGTGGGAACTGTGGTTAACTTTTGTTATGAATTGGCGTTATACAAATAAAACTGAATTGAATTGAGAATAAATCAAAAAATGTCAAGTCCCTTCAAGTCATTTGTCTTGAGTCGATGTCAGTCTTTTATCAATGTTAGTCAAGCAAGTGTCGAGTACTCAAATTTGCAACTTGAGTCTGTGGAGTAAGTGACTCGAGTCCAACACCTCTCTCAATAACAGACCTCAATGAAAACATGAACTGAGGAAACGCTATCTCATTTTTGCGGAAACCACCAGAGGCAGGATCAGGAAAAGATGAAAACGCAAAATAAGAAAAGGGCTATACAGAGTCATAAAGCTTCAAACATCAAATGTATAAATAGCTTAAATAAATGTAATAAAGGTTTAAAAAAAGGACCAATAAACAGACTTTTTTAAATACACACATAGACAAACAAATAAATACAATCAATTAAAAGCCTGACTAAAAAGGTGGGTCTTAAGTTTGCTTTTAAAAATATCTTTACTTTAATGAGGAAGGCTGATCCACTGGCATGGACCATAGGGATAAAACAATGCCTCACTGTGGGTTTTTGTTGTGACGTTAGGGATAATTAAAAGGCCACTGAGGACCTGATGATGAATGTTGAATGATGCTTTATTTCATGTTGGAATAAAATAATTGTTAAATATTTCAGGAAATTAGATGCCGATGAGGAGGCAGGCAGGGTTCTGAGCAGATGAGGGAATTGGGAACAGGTATGTAGATGGGTGGGGCAGTCAGGTGATGCCCCTCCCCCCTAATCCCCTTTGGCAATTAATAAAGTAAATATTCGGTACAATCCTCACCGCTTCCATCACCATATGGTACGCTGCTGCCACTGCCAAGGTCAAGGGCAGACCGCAGCATATCATTCTCCCCACGTCAGAACATGTACGACTCCACGACCCTGAGGAGTGCAGGTAAGATTGTGGCTGACCCCTCCGATCCCAGACACCAACTCTTGGAGACACTTCCCTCTTGCAGGAGGGATCAAAACCTCATGCCACAAGATCGCCATATTAAGGAGTCCTGATGTGTTTGTCAAGGGGTTATTTAAGGCTTTATTTCATGATGCAATAAAATAATTGTTAAATATTAAACTGCAACAAATTCATATGTTTTACCTTCACTTTTTTTGCATTAAATCATACTGGGATGTTTGCTGAAATTGTTTGGATGTGGCAAAGCCCTGCTCAGGCAATTTTCCACTCCCTGCCACTGACAGGCAGGTAGACAGGAAGTGCAGATCCAGGTTAACATTCAGGAAACCAAAGGGCTGGTTTCTGTAGGTCTGATAAGGAAATGAGATACTGGGCCAGGTGGGGAAGGCCAGACAATAGACCTTTTCACTGCAGCCATTTTAGTATGAAATAGTAAGGTAAACACAGGTGTTAACAATGATATGTGTGTGTGTATATGTAGGCAGATGACAGTCATAGTTGGAATACTGCCAGTGCAATCTAACTGAACAAAGGAGAAAGTATCCCTATAATTTGCATCAGAGCCAGTGAGATATAAGAGTTGGGCCAAAATATCAAAATTCTTGATTGATTTTATCCCTATCAATTAAAAGTATTAAAAGCCCCATGTCTGTATTGTAGCTAAGTTAATGGCTCAGAGAGGTTAACTCTCTGGAACTGGGACTATCAGTACATGGGATCATGGTAAACATTGCCGTTGGTCTTTCTACAGCCGTCTAAAGCACAAAATAAAAAAATACTAAGTAGAGGGTTACCAAAAACAAGCATAAGCTCTTATGAATGATGCATCTGGAGAAAAATACATTTAAAATGAGTGCAGTGGTTTACACACTACCACTCAAAACAGAGGCTGGGGAGGTGGGCTGCAGTATCACTGCTCCTCCACCTGCAGTACCCAGTGCTCAGACAGTAATATTATTGATATCAAGATTACTTGCATAATACAGTGATAGTAGTGACTTTTGACTGAAAAACACAGGAAAATATGAAATTATTGTCTTCCTCACGGCAGTAATTGTCCTGTTTTTCAGGTGCTCCAAGACCCTTTACCCGAAAAACCCCCATGTCGACCAGGCAACCTACCACCGCTATCTTTCCCTACCGCAGGTTCCTGCAAAGGCTAACTGGTTCGATTTTTATAAATGAGTACATACTCAGCCAATGCTGCAGCCTCAGCAACAGTTGTAACCTTACGTTCAGTAATGTATGTGGCTGGGCAGAGAATTTTGAACTGCTCTAAGAGGACCAAGTTACACAACTCTCAAAGTTGTCAACATCAGAAGCCATACACCAACAATTGAAATGATTAGTCAGCTCCCTCGACAACTCCGGTCTCCCTTCATCCTAAAATGCTGACGATTTGCTTCTGGAACTCATACACCTTCAGTCCAGCAGCCTTGACTGATTCATAAGTTAGATTATTGTTAAGATGCATAGGCCTCCTGTGCTTTTCCTGACAAACACACACTGCAACAACAAAACCTGCTCAGAGTCTGACCAAGTCCATGCTTCCGTCATCTGCTCAAGCAGAGAAAAACTCATCTGGATCACTTTCATTGAATTTAGGTAAGAGACGAAAATTACTGACAACATCTGGAGATCCTTACTGCGAAGACAAACTTTCTTCCCGTCACAACACATCCCCAGAAATCTTGCCATCTCTGACTATCCCCAACTTAGCAGTTTGCTATGCTATCCTTTCCTGCTCGGTTTCCTGCCGCAAACGCTCAATTGCCACCTGCTTTTCAGCCTCCAACTTGTGCTTTTCTATCTCAATCTTTTGACTTTCTAGTTCCAACTCTTGCTTCTCTTTATTGTAAGAGAACTGCAATAAAAGCAATTATTTTCTCTGTTTGGTTAAGTTCCCCCATGAAACTTAAAGTGACTGTGTTGCTAACAATGGATCAGGCCCCTCTTGCTTAGCCACCAGCACCCCTTTCTCAACTAACTGCAGTTTCACACATATGCTTTACACAATAAAACTAAACTAACTGTAGTATGTGAGATCAATAGTGTAAGTGAGTTTATGAGTGGAGAAGTGCACGAGTGCTGCGTTGTAGTAAGATGCAGCAACACAATCTAACCTTCGAATCAAAACCAAATGGCTCCCAGAGGCTTTTTAAAAGGAAGATGGCACACAGGCTCTAGGTGTGGCCAGTTTGCTGATGACCTGCACAAAAGCAGCCACACAACCAGGAACAGGAAGACAGGGCAGAGCAGGTCATCAGCAGAAAAAGTATCCCTGTATAGTTTGCATGTTTGTGGAACATGTAAACTATATGTAAGTACAGGAAGACTTTACTGCAGCACTGCAGCAAACTTTAAATAACTGAATTAAAGTTTAGTTTAATAATGATAACACACTGTTTAAATATTTAAAAAAAACATGTCATTATTACTTTCAAGTTCTAGTTTCATTAGTTGTCTTATTATGCCTAATCTGTAAAAAGCAAACCACCAACTCATGATGTGTGGTTACAATATAGAATGAAACTCCCATTAAGTCTTAAGTCAGCATATCAGGAAAAAAAAGAAAGAAAGAAAGAAAGAAAGAAAGAAAGAAAGAAAGAAAGAAAGAAAGAGAAAAATTTCTTGAATAAGATAAACAAGTGTATTGCAACAACAAGTGGTAGTGCTCCACTGTCTTCTTTAAAAAGGACTTGATTGGTCCTATATTTAGAATGAATATACAATTATATATATATATATATGAAGTGTATATATATTAGGGAAGTACAAAAGCTACAGATATGATGATATGAAAAACCAGCATAACCTAAGTTCCCTGTCATTGTGAAAGGGTTTAGGCGGAGCCTGATCTCATTTGCAAGGGAAAATGATAGGCTTGTTATTCTGCTATGTGAGGAGTCTTTTATAAAGGACTCCCATTCTGTGAATTAGAACATAATAATCTCTAGGATGGATACAAGGATGGACAATGGTATCAGATTTTTCTCTTAGAGATGGAGGACCAACCAAGGAAAAAGTCGATGGATCCAAAAGAGAGCCACAACTGCAACAATTAATAACAATTTTGTGTATCTTATTTCAGAATAATACATTAAAGTATTTCTACATTTACTTAAAGTAAGTATGTGATTCTACCCCTAACACAGTCGTTTTTGTGAACCAATATATGTACTATATATGTATATATGTAAAACTATGTTGAATACCAATTTGTCGATACTGAATAGTGGATCTGCTACTGAACTCAGATCACTTTGATACTAACACATCTAGCTATGTGAGGTAGCTGGGGAAATAATTTAATTTTTTAGTTTTTTAATTTGGGGGAAGCTAAGCTATTAAGCCTCTTAATAGCACTAACTATGTGTATAATAGTTTCTAAGAAAATGTCAGAAATTAGTTACTGAATTGTAATGTTTTATGTTTTTATATTCAACCAGTCCTCTATTCTCCCAGAATGTAGAACTATTACTAATTTTATATTAATTTAACAAAAGAAATATTGCTTACAGCACCTTTAAGTGTTTCTTGGGCCAGCTGTGAAAGAATGCCATTGGTCTCCCCAATGGGTAAATAATGGAACAGCCATTCATGTAGTTTTAACCTTAACACGTAACTATTTTCACGACACGGAAGCACTTGATCCCTTACGTAATTGTAAAAAAAATGGATGCCACGATGAAGTTTTTAATCCACATGAAAGTATGTTTATTTCAGTTTAACATTTTACTTTGTATGTACAAGTACTGCTACTTGAATAGTTACGGTTTGTATTTTCATGTGTGCTGAATTGGTAAACTTGGTGAAATCAGTCATGTGGGGAAGCAACATGAGCAACGTTAAGAAGTTAGCTTAGCCTAGATTAGCAATTTCGCTCACAATGCATTTTTTATTATGTTTCAGATTGTGGTGAATATTACTAACCCTCATCAAGTGACGTAAGTGTGCTTTAAAAGATGGATATATTTTGATGTAGTTTGATTTATGTCTTTTCTTCTCCATGCGTGCTTGGAGATTTGCTTTTGGTGCTGGACAAAAAAAGTTTCTTACGTAATGCCATCCTGACTTCCAGGGGCAGATCTCCATGTGAGGAAACTCCAATGGAGTGGGATCCTCCGGAAAATCAAAGCTCTTCAAATGCCAGGTAAGGACATTCAATGATTTCAAGGGTTCAATGTTATTTTATAGTCATTTACAATGCAGGGTTGTATAATGAAATTAAGATATAGTTCCCTTTATGCAACTTGCAAAACAAGATAAAAATGTAGGCATATGCACCTCTTGTAGGCAGCAAAAACAGCTTGTTACAGACTAACGTTACAGCATTCAGACTGCGACAACATGTAGAAAAATTTTTACTTTTATTATTTCATCAGCATCTCATAGCAAAACCTACAAGCACAGCACAGCAGCACCAGTCACATACTGTACATGGTAGTTGTAGTGGTTTGCCATCAATAGCTTACTGTACTATAATATAAATGTGTAACTGAGCAAAAGTAAAAGTACTCCGAGCAAGTACTGTACTAAACAAAATATTAAATGAAAGAAATTGGGCACCTACTGTAATGTCACAAGATTAGAATTAAACAAAATATATAAATATTAAATCAACACATGCTAATATTTTAATTATGTAAAAATTGGAGCATTAAATCACCCAAAATGACACATTGAAAGTAACTTGAGACCCATCTTAAACCAGAAAATAAATAAGACCAATCTAATACTGTCAAACTATAAATGAATGAGACCAACACTTGATTTGGACATTTTTACCGTGGTATTGAATTGGCATTGGTATTGACGACCAAATTTCTGGTATCATGACATCCCTAGTGCCTTTACAAGCTTTTTCATCATCTTGTGGTCTTCATCATTAAATGGACCTAGTGCATGTCTTTCTCCGTGTGCACGGAAACTAAATATGTGTAAGGACAAAGAAATATACATACTCAAGGGCCCAATTTCCACTGACGGACAAAATATGATGCATTGCTGTAGATTAAACTACCCAGTAGTTTACAGTATATAAAGTAGTTCAAATTAGCTCAACCATAAACATCTATAAGCAAAATGCAAGATACTGTGATAATGCAGCAGTAATATTAATCCAAAAACATAATAGGCTATATAATAGTAAAACTCTAACAGTGACAATTCTTCTCTTCTGCACAATAAGTACTTTTTACTTTTGATACTTTCTAAATCTAGCTAATAATAATATCACACCTTTACTGAAGTCAAATTCTGAATGCAGGACTTTTACTTGTAGTGGAGTAAAGTAATCAAAATACTTCTTCCACTACTGCTTATTAGTTTATTAATGACTGAACAAAGATACATTGTTCTCCATGCAGAAATGTGGCAGCATCGAACTCCTCCACTGAAGAGGAGATCCCAATGGAGGTTGACCAGAAGTAAGAAAACCCTCATTTGGGCAAGGTATGTCAGACTAATGAACTAATGATGATCAACATGATAATTATGAAGCTTTCTGTTCCCACAAATGTGAAAACTGTGAAAGAGAGAGTTCAACATTTTAGGAAATCTGCTTATTCACATTTTTGTCAAGAATTAGATGAGAAGATTGATACCACTCTGTCAGATAAATATGATTCTACAGCCAGGAGATTGTAAGCTTAGCAAAAGAAGTCTTCACACACCCCTGAAATGACTTGCTGTTACACGTTGGTTTTTGTGTGGATTAAAACGTATAATATGTAAATTAGTGAGCTTTGGGTGCTGGTTGGTGGATTTTCTTACTTCAGACACAGCCAAGCTAGTTGTGTCCCCCTGTTTCCAGTCTTCATGCTAAGCTAAGCTGACCATCTCCTGGCTATTTCAGGTACAACCAACAGAGTGACATTTGGGAAGCAAAAAAGCTACTTTCCCAATATGTCAAACACTTGATTTAAGATAACTATTTAGTTATAGCTTTTTATGGATTCCTCACAGGTGGTGAGTTCAATACACACACACAGGGTCTTTTGATCCTTCTTATGACCTCACTATAGCTGATGTATCAATTAACCCTCACCACTTCTCTATATTACTAAAACTTTAAAAGAGTGACAGGGATAGAAATGGAAAATCAATCATTTGAATTGAATTCTGCTTTTTGTCCACTGTCTTCCATGACTCGATATCTGAGAAGCTGTCCCCAAGCCAGCAAACAGGAGCCTCTATTTTCCACGGAGGAGGGCTTGGTCTGCCTTTCTTCTTCACCTTCTCTGCCAGTCCAGCAGGCTTCCTCCAGAGCGCTACACTCCTCATTCCTTTTGCATAGGAGCAGCAACAACTGTAGCATCAACAGCTCCTGTCTCAACGGTCAAGGCATTCATCATCGCCATCTACTTATGAACGTTACCTCTGGCGCAAGGCCCAAGCAATCCTTGATGCTCAAAAAGCAATGAGTGCCCTGTAATTTGTTGGCTTAACCTCCTAAGGCCCAAGCTGTTTTCCTACATGCTTTTTCCTGACTGTTTTTTAATGTATTACTAACACATACACACATATTTTTTGAACATTTTTTGAATATCAGAGAGTAAAAACAACATGGAAACATTGCATTTTTGCCCATTTTGGACAGTTAAAACAGTTGCAGGATGACATTGTATGTCTGTATCAAAATATAAAACATTCAAAGCATTTTAAATGGTTACTGTTTTTTTAAAAAAAACTATTTAGCTACTAATGTGTTTTGAACATCATAGTGGGAAAAAAAATGAAAAAACATCATAGTAGGTGAATAGCTCATGTGAAATTTTGCATTGGTAATAGGGGTGGGCGATATGGGCAAAAAATAATATCTTGTTATTTTTGGGGATTTTGGTGATAACGATAATCAGTCGATATCCTTGTGATTGGAATTGTCTAAGTTAGGGCTTGTGTCCACCAAACGCGTTTTTAGCTCTGGGAGCGCTCAAAAACTCATTTTCCGAGCGCCCAGCGCCGTTAAAAGTTGTACAGATTTCAACTTGAAGCGCTCTGAACGCTGCGCTAAAAACGTCTCTTGGTGGACACAGACCCTAATCAGTCTTTTCAAAACCAAACCATTTCCATGCCAGAGAGGTAGACCCACGTCTCGGCACTAAATCATCTGAAGTACCGGTAGCTTCAGGGACTGGAGGTGCTTGCATTTTCTCTTTACCATCACAACGCGCTGCTAAACTGTTGCAAGGAGGACGCTAGTGAGAGGTCACGTGAACACTAGTCGTGTGACTATGCCATGCTGTAGAGAGCGTTGCTGCACCGCGTATTAATGGATGTGAGGAGTTTCCGCGTGCGTTTAAATATTTTTGGCGAAGTAATTTAAATACTCGATAATGGACATAATTTGCACATCATCAAAACAACGATGACGATATTATCGCAAACGATATATATCGCCCACCTCTAATTGGTAATGTAAAAAAGGGAACATGTTAAAGGCTGCGATCACTGAGGACTGAAGGATCAGGTCTGCTTACAGAGGCCCAGAGGTCACCTGATTGATTGACCTTCACAGAGTTTGAGAGGAGAGGAGTTGGAGGAGGAATGTGACTTATGGTGCGATCCATTTGTCTCGTAAATCCCTCACCCGAGATGCTCTGACACAAGAACGTGATGTTATTGCCTGGCTTGTACCACTTATAGCGTTCCATTTGTCTTTGGGCATTACGAGTCGGAAAGAACATGGACGCCACCAGTGCAGCAGCTGTGTTGTTATTGCTTGTGGCTCATCTAAACAAGCTCAATGTGAAATAATAAGGTTTTTCTACAGAAACACTAACATTTCAAGTAATTCCGTTATTTGAAAGTCTTACATTTCAATAATATTTTGCCATTTTCGCCTATATATTTCAATGTCAACAAGTGCTGTGGCGTTTGTCTCGAGCCACCAGGGGCCTCCAGGGGCCACCAGGGGCAGGCTAGTGTTATTGTTAGCTACATTAGCCTATTTAGCAAACCAGCTAGAAAACAAAACTTGACATTGTATTGCACGCACAGCAACACCGTGCAATGCATAAATTGGTGACCGGACTAAAGCAGCAATGTAAACAGTGTGTAGGAGCATTTAAAATCGACATTAAAACGACCAACGTAGGACAAATACAAAGAAAATACATCTCAATACGGACGCTGCCATCTTTGTTTTGCGAGTCGTATGTTCACCCTCGTTTAGCTCGGTGTACTGTGAGGAGCCCCGAGTGGGACGGCTGATTTTACGACCAAAACGGGGTAGCTCCAATGCTCTTTGCACAGAAAAACGCTCCGTAAATAAAAACATGACAAAATCAAATACAAATTAATTTATGTATGTAGGTTTGCATTATTTATTTGTTATTTATTCCAATGGGACAATATGCAGCTTTTTAGCTACAGTTAGCTGTAAGCTAATTTACATGTGCATATTTTTACTAACATTTTCAACCCAACTAATTTAAGTATGTATACGTATTTAGTGATTTAATTGCTATTTATTTCATTGGGATCATGTACAGCTTTTTAGCTGCACCTGAGTTAGCTTTTTTCTTATTTTACATGTGTGCAAGCATATTAGTTTTGAGGAGCATCAGTCCGTAAGTACACTTATGTGTACTTCATGTTTAGCGACCTACAAAGTTGCTATTTTTACACTTTTTTTTCAAATTTGCATGTCATGACAAATGTACAAGGCTTTTATAAATATCTAAATCAGAATAAGCCATGAAATATGACAGAACTTCTTACCTTGTCGACGTCTGTGTATGGAGCTACCACTTGAATTTTCCCGCCATTTTTAATTGGCACCGTAGTGTGTTAGTAATTTCTGACACCACCATATGGTAGTGTAAGTACCCCACATACGTACCATAACACCCCCAATTCAGCAGTGAACACAATTGTGGACATAAGAGCTAAAAGGTGCTGTCCATGTATGTGACCGCTAAGCCCTAGGAGGTTAAGTACAATAAAACAACAATTTGCTTATGGAGTTATGAACCGATTTCAATATTATGACATTCACCTGTCAATCAATCTTCAACACTAGTGATACAGAGTGAAGATTCGTTAGCTAGCTAACAACAAAATAGCTTTTAGTCGGAGTGTTTCTTAGGGATGGGCCTCACTGGTGATTACTGTACAAAAACAAAACTTTATCACTTGTATAAAAGCACAACTTTATCAGTGATTTGGGTGAAACTTATGGAAGCCCATTTCCGCCAATATGATGAATGAATATGAAGAAAGTAATTATAATGAGATACAAATAATGACTTAGTATCACATTATTCTGACAGTATCTCAATATAATGAAAAGCCTGAATTAGAATAGGCCTGTGTGTTGTTTCTTCATATGCTCCAAAGCAACAGAAGCAAGTGAATGAGACAAAGTTTGGCAGACTAAATGGATACCGTCATTGAAGACTACTTTAGATGTAGATTCACAAATTGTGAGATTTTGGCAGTTTTAGAGGAATCACATAATATCAAACTAAGTCAAGTAGAGAGAAAGCGACAAAATGTGACAGATGCTGCAGTAGCATCCTTCATTGACCAGTAGTTACAAATGTCTGGCAGACAGTGCGGCTACAGATGGATGTAGTATGAACGTCAGTCGTGGGCCAAACTATGTATGGCATATAGATGGATATAACAAATTAAAGCCAAATGGCATATGTATCAGTGGTTGCATAGATGGCTTCTCAAGAAAAATGATATGGCTGAAAGCATACAAAACCAACAATGACCCTAGTATTATCGCAGGTTATTTTATAAATGGGGTGACCGAAAACAATGGATGTCCACATAAAGTCTGATTAGGATTAAACGTTGGTGAAGCACCTTGAGAAGTGAATGCACCCAGTTTTGGATGGACCATTTTGACCAGCTTAAAGCAAATGGCTATTTTGTTGTCAGCTTCATTGACAAATCACTGATCCAGTTTTGCTTCCAAAATACCACCCAAGTAGAGTATCCTTTTTTTAAATATATGATTATTGTTTTTTTAATATATGATGTTGATGATGATATTTACTGTTGAGTGGCAAATCTATAGGAATGCATATTATGTTAAGATCATCATATGTTTGCAGCCTGGCTGTCCAGCGAGAATCACTTGTTTCTAAAAAGTAAACTTTTCATGAGCTCAGAACATATATATATATATATATATATATATATATATATATATAAATCAAGTCACAGGGACAAGAGATGGTCGAAAATGACATAAAGCCACAGCCTCCACTAGCCTGACACTGAACCCACATGCACCTGGCTGCTGATGAGTTAATATAGCAGTTAAAGTAGGGTACTTGACTGCAGTAAAATATATCCTAATGTCTGTTTCATTCCCTGCACTGCTGTCACGCCATATGAAGAGCATACCTTGAAAGGATAAAACTTTACAAAAGCCGCTCCCAACTTGTTGAATTTTGAATCATTTATTTCACAAGAAAAAGGGTTGGAAATATTACACATAAATGGTTCAGTAATTTCTAATAAACTCCTGAGCAATAGAAAAAACAACTAAAAGTTACAGTTGCAGTTTGGGGAGCTGACTTTCAGAATGTGTGCTTGAGCATTTACACCCAATACGTACTGTAATAGTACTCTAGTAGTATGGGTGATGCTTACTATGGTAGTAAGCCATAGGACAAGTGGTAAAGAATTTTAGGAATTTGTCAATTAATATTTCATTGATCCCCTTCAAATTCACAAATATTTTGTGCAAACCACAGTAGAGCAGGATGGTTAAATATTCAGCCTGTGTACACAAACACAATGAATGTATTACGCAGTTACACACAGCCAGATGCTTATAAGAGAAGTTGAAAGTCCCATATTCAGAGAATGTAGGGAGTATGCCACATTATAGTTGACTGGAGTCTTTGTAGCAGTAGTTTAGACTTATTGCCTTTAAACAAGATAATGTCCGCAAGAGCATATTGTGGCCATATCTGACATATGCACTGACATATGCACTTGTTCCCTAAATGCAGATGGGTTAGGAAAACACCTGGATGACCTGAAAGCAAAAAGAAAGAAGGATCGCCTACCTGTATATAAGTTATTTATAATTCATAAAATCCCTAGTCATATGGCGGCACAGTCACAGTCTACTGATACAGTAGACTATCAGGTGCCTGTGTACTGCAACAATGGATTAGACTGATGTTTGCAATATGAATACTTTACATGTAATTAATAGTTTAATTTACCAAAAAAGCACAGAAAATAACGTTAATGTGGCAGTTAAGTAAGCAATTCTGTCTGCATTGATCTGTTAAAAAAAGTGGGTGATTCTTTCAATAGACCACAGTCTACTATCTGAAAAGCTTCTCCTTCAGCTCCTTCAATTCCTGTTGCATCAGAAGGCAACAGCACTGAAGTACCAGAGTAAGGTTAATATCTACAGTGTCACAAGATTGCTTACAATGGATTTTGGAAGCTGCACATACATTTAGGAGTAAAAACTTGATCATACTTTGTTCTAATGCTTCAACAGCTATAACAGGACCCTGTGTCTGTCCATAGTAATATTAATCTGTTGTTTCAGTCATTTAAATATATAGGATGGTTTAGTCTCAGCACGGCTCAGTATTGCTTTTGGTTGTTGGTTACTACAGACCAGGTTTAAATCTGTTTATTATTAGGAGTAAGAGGATCTTCATTGAACTTCACCGGTTTGCCAACGATGGGAGAGAAATAAGCATTACTTTGTGTCATTGTTTTTTACTGAGCATAAACACACACGTCTCTTTATTTGGATATCTTGTTGAGAGCATCTGCCATGAAACAAAGGAAACAGAAACACAAACCAGCCTTTATGACCTCTTAAATTGAAGCAATTTATACTTGAAGGGGAATTCCTAGAAGCTTTGAGAGGTAAAACTATTCATTCTTTTAAAAGGGAAAATAAAGCTAAAATTTGGTAAGTGAGCCGTCTTAATATTCTTTAATTATTTAAAATAATACATTTATAAAGACTAAAAATGTCCTCATAGGTGTGTATTGCTACATTATAGTGTTATCCATTCATTAAATGTTTGTATAATTATACTTGCTAAACAGGGGGAAGTGAAGTAGAGTAACCCACTACCATGAAGTGTCAGCTGCTCACTCAGTACTGGTAAAAAAAATAACATTTCAGTGTAGTATGAACACTAATGAGCCAAATAATGTAGTTTTGAGATCTTACACATAAAGCTCAGTTCACTAATCACGAGAACTACTCACACTGTAAAATTGGTCTTGTGTTTTCTGCAGCTTAAGAGCTTTCCAAAACATGACAAAATAAGGGTCTAATGAAAGATTGTGCCAGTTGCATTATGGGAATTGTAGGACCCAGTGTCTTTGGAGCTTGATCCATACTCTGAATTCAAATTCAAGATACCTCGACCTCATTCTTTGGTAATTTAGTCTTTTCTTAACTTTATGAAAGTTCACTACTGAATTGCGGATCTACTGGTTTAATAATGCGAGATAGCTGTTCACACAAAGAATACTGACATTACATGCATGACTGTGGTTGTGATGCAATCTTTGTTGGCGTTCAAGATCAATTCAATGTCTTGTTGCTGTAAAACATACACATTTCAGGATGCCCGGTTCGAATCCGACCTGCGACCCTTTGCTGCATGTCATTCTCTCTCTGCCCCCCTTTCCTGTCCATCTCCAGCTGTCTCTCTATCAAATAAAGGCCGAAAAAATTATACTTTAAAAAACATACACATTTCAACTAAAACTGCTTTTTTACATAAAATAAAATATTGAGAAACATGACAACAACAAAAAATTGGATCAGTGCACTTTAACACTTTAATAAAATAAAACGACTTGAAACAGCAGTTGCATAGAATAAAGCTGTGTGGATACCCACTGTTATTCATTTCACCTGGCTGAGGTAAGAATTAAGGCCTCACAAAGTGACTTCAATAACATTATTGCAGTTAGCTTCAAGTTACAGTGCCTACCTGCTTAAACACATTATGTCCTTTAAAAAGATATCCCTATTGTATGAATAACACTGGAAACATAAGACACCACTGCACAAAAACAAAACAACTGTACCAAAACCATGTTCACTAGTAACAAAAATATACATTCAAGCCTCCCAACCAAGAAATACTTAACAGAAACAAGCACGTTGTTCATTGTGAGACAAACACTCTTACAAGAACGAAAGAACAGACAAACAAAGATAAAAAATGAAATGTAAGTCAGTAGCTGCAGTAGTAATCCGTTTGTGAGGCACATCTGTGGAAGCTGCATTTGCGATTGTAAAAGGGACGTCCGACTTTTGACTATTTTGGGGTCAGAAGTTATTATTTAACAGGATCAGAGGTGACGGCGCCCGTGACTGCGTCTGGTGTGGAGAGGAACCTAGAACAGAAGCATCAGATTAATACAGCTGCAGACAGCTTAAATCTTGAACGCTCAGTTTTTTAAAATAAAATACAAGGGTGGACACAATTAAAAAAATAGTTTAAAGACACTGATCTGACCCTTGTACACCTTTTAGCTGCTTTGTGTTTCTTTGAAAACTCATTTTGATGAATGGCTACTGTCAGTTTGCCTGTATTAAGACATAAGACATAGCAGCTAAAAGGAATTAAATTTGATCATTTACACCTTTCTTTTGCTTTGAGAAGTAAAAATGTCTTCTATGAAAAGGGTCTACACACATTTTGAGTTGAGGAGCAGTGAGACTCTCTGAAAGGCACCGTACTGCACTAGTGATCTTGTTCTTTCATGAAGTTTCAATTATGTTGATTTCCAAAACCAATTTGAAAGTTTCCAAAAATAAATTAATATCGATGAATATATTTTACTAAACAGAGAGAGGAGTTGGGCAATCTGACGATTTTAGGAGATTGTGAATTCAACATTATGTTTAAAATTACATTTGAATTGTGGCTATATGTCCACAGGACATTTCAAATTTAGAAAAAAAGATTGCGGTTTAGAACGTGAATTAGAAGACTGATAACCAACCCCTAAAACGAGGTTTGTAAGTATGGGGTGTGTATCTGGGAAACAAACCTTGGGTGTTTCTGGACTGCCAAATGGTGACAGTTCTAGTGAATTCTCTTTGTCAGAGGAATTGTTATGGCGATGCTGGGCGAACTTCCTCTTTAGTGCTTCAGCGATAAGAGCGGCTGGGTCGCTGAGCAATGCTTTACCCTTACTGCGTCTCCTTATGACCGGTGTGCCCCCTGGTGATCTACACAGAGAAGAAGGGATTGTCAAGAACAGTTGCAGTATAGGGTAACACAGAGAAATGAAATAAGGTCAAGAAAATGAACTAGCAGACAATAAATTAGGACCATATATTTTAAAGATATTAATATTGGTAAAACTAAATCAAAAATTCAGACAAACCCATATTGTACTACCACTTACCTCTCCACTGAACGTAATTTAACTTGATTGAGGTCCTTGAGAACATCCAGCATGGATGGGATCCCTTTAACATCTGAGCCTGGGTCCTGGGGCTTGAGTTGCCCCCTATTGAGGTCTTTCTCAGTGTTCCTGCGCTGGCGAATCAGCTCTAATACGGAAGAAGTCTTAGTGGAGGAGTCAGGGCAGGAAGGAGGTGGAGGTGGTGGTGGAGGAGGAGGAGGAGGAGGAGGAGCACTGCGTGGCGTAGAGGTAAAAGCTGGAGGAGACAGCAAAGGCGTACCTGGTGCATTTTGGGACTCGGTCAGACCTAATAAAATGTTGAAAGAGCACAAAAGGGTTGTTATTTATGTAATTTACTTGACTTGTAAAAATGACAGTGTAACATGTTGGACATGTGCAAAGACGTTGCGACACATCAGTAAAAAGAATACGAACCTGAGCCTGGAGCGGCAGTAACAATCATAGCTATCTGAGCTCGCAGTTTGAGCAGCTCGCTCTCCAGTGCTGTGATCTTCTTCATGGCGTCTGGATCTGTTGTCTGTCTTACCGATCTGCCTCCTCTCTGCACTTGCTTTAGAGCTGGTCCTGGATATTTCCGCACATCCTGATTTACAGATGTTTGCTTCTTTGGAGGCAAATGATTCCTACGGAGACCAAATTATTTTGTGTGAAGTAAGAAAGTGCCGTTGTTCCTCTGTAGTACACAAAAACTATGGCCAATTCATTCTTGATTTTTTTATACACAGAAATCAGTGTTCTCCTGCTCAGACAGGCTGTCTATGAGTTACCAGTTCACAATACGTTTTGATTAGAACAGGATGGCTATATTTATCTGGCAGCATCAACCTAGTATACGTACTACATCTGTCGAAAGAAATCAAGCTGTTCTGCTTGCTTGAGACGAGTAAAAACACAATATGTATTTCATGAAATAATGCAATAATCGACTGACCAACAGCTTAAGTTCTATAAGAGTTTTATGAGGGGAACTTAGCAGCTACACTAACCACAGAAAACGTATACAGTAAATTAGTACCTCGCTAGCCATACACAGTATACACACAAACATTACCTGGCAGAAACACTTACTTCTTTCTTCTGGGTAGAAATTGTTTTTGTTTTTGGCATCAGAATCCAACAAAAAAATACTGTCCAAGGTGAAACTGACGGCAGCAAAGCACCCGGGTTTCTGCTGGCCTTTATAGTCTCAGCTACTGTGGCAGTAATAGTGAGCAGCTGGAGTGGCACCCTGAGCTTCTGGCTCTCTTGTTCCAATGCTACACTGGACTCATTCATGTACTCTTTGACTCATTGCATTTTATGAAATATTCTATCAACAGTTTTGCTTATATTAGGACAAAAGATTTCATTGTTATTTTTCACTGTAAACTTGCACTAGGAAACAGTATCCATCCGTATGTCTCACCCTGTGCTGCTGCTGCTGCTGTTGTTGTTGTTGTTGTTGTTGTTGTTATTTTTTATTGCTACTGCAGCAAAAATGAATTGCCCCTTGGCAACAAATAAAGATTGTGAACTTGAATAACCTTTGTTTGCATTTTGTCCATTTGTGCTCTTACCTGGTCTTGGCAAAGCTGTTGCCCTCATCCTCAAACACCGACAGGACGTCGGCAAAGGAGGGGATGGCAGGAGTATCCACGGGAATGTCGACATAACCATGGGGTCTATAGTTGAGCAGAGGGACCTAAGAACGAAACATGGACAAGGAGGGTCACACACTGCGATGCTGACTGCATGGCAAATAATAGACAATTGCATAAGTTATTAATTAAATCAAATATAGTAACTGATGGCTTAAATTGTGTCAAAATGCAAATGTGATTTTGCAGAAGTAAGAGGATGAGGCAAAAACTGAATGTCTTGTGTCAGGTTGAAACAAAAAAAGTTTACATGGGCGCCCGGTTAGCTCAGTGGGTAGAGCTGGCGACCCATGTACTGAGGTTGAGTCCTTGCTGCAGCGGCCCAGGGTTCGAAACCAACCTGCGGCCCTTTGCTGTGTGTCATCCCCTCTCTCTCTACCCCCCTTTCCTGTCTATCTTTGGCTGTCCCTATCAAATAAAGGCAATAAAAAGGCCCCCCCACAAAAAAGTTTACACATTACAAATACACTTGAGCTCCACTAAATACCGCATACAGTTTTGCTTTTGTTTAGGAAGTACTATGTGACAAACATAGATTGAATCATCTTTATCAATGTTAGCTATTAGCTATCAAAAAACACATAGTTGTATTTGACCAATTATAGACTAATATTATATACATACCAACCTACAGTTTTATATTTTTTTATTGAAGCGATCATCAATATCATAATAAAATAGAGTGATTTTGAGTGAGTCCGTAAGAAAACAGCAGTGCTGGTACCTGAAAGTGGACCCGCGGTGTAGGTTCCAGTGGGAGGTTGGTCCCAATCATCCGCACAATGCTGCGATACTGACCACACAGCTGACTGTCCCACACTGGAACCAGCTACAGGTAAGATGGCACACACACACACACACACACACACACACACACACACACACACACACACACACACACACACACACACACACACACACACACACACACACACACACACACACACACACACACACACACACAACCTTGGTTGAAAATTGCCGTTCTTGCAGATTCACTAGTGAAGTAACAATACTGGTGACTTTACAGGAATGAAAACAACTGCCATGCCTCTTGATATCCCTGGATGGCAGTTTAAAAATTAGTAACTTAATTATAACAGAGGTGTGTGTGTGTGTGTGTGTGTGTGTGCACTGAACTCACCATGTCTGGAGCAACTCCAAAGTATTCCAGGACAATACGCAGCACATCCAGGATATCCTCCACTAAAGACATTGCAGACAAGGACTTTTTCGTGCACCAGCTGATGACTGCAAAGCAGCTTTTTCTGCTGACTGACTTGATAAGACGCCAACACAGAATAGTTGCCACTAAGTCACATACTTTACACCTGAAACAAAATAAAACATACAACACTTAATGCTATAAAAGAGAACCACTGAAAGTCAGTACTTGAGACTAGTTATGGTCTCCAAATCAGACTACTGTCACCTGATATATGATATTGTGTACTGTGATAAAAACATTTCCATTATTGTGATAATCGTAAATATCCTCACATGGCTTGACTTGACAAAGCTGTGTAGCTCGCCAGCGTACGGTCCTATATTGATTTCTGGATTTATTTTGAACTAGGGCACAAGAGGGAGCCCGCATCTTTCCCCAAAATCCTTAGCCTGTCACCATGGCTAAAAGCTTGGCTTGACCGTTGTATCCCCCACAAAAAAAAAACTACTACTAGATGTGTGGAAATAGTATAGATTCCAAAATAAAGAACAGGAAGATAAGGTGGCTATCTGTGATGCAATAAGTATGTGCTTTTAACAGAATGTGAGGTAAAGTGATTCCAGTATGTTTTAGTGAACTTGTATGCAAGTGTGAAGCATATGGTTAGGGTTTTCTTGATATCTTGTATTTTTCTATTTTATTTTGTTATTTAATGTGCATTTCTTTTTTCTTATCTGCTATGTTATATCTGGAGCTGCTGTAACAAGTGAATTTCCCCAGTGTGGGATCAATAAAGTCTTATCTTAATATTGTGTATCACAATTAGTTTGGCCAAAATGTCCATATTGTGCAATGCCTAATGATAACATCCAACTAAATGTAGGAATTTAACAAGCCTCCCCTGAAGCTGCACTGTAAGTTGGTGATGATGTAATAATATAACGGCTGAAAGCACAGAAAACAGCCACTGTGGTTTTAATCAGGACATTTTCAGAGTTGGAGGCGCTAAATTTAAATAAAACTACTCAATGTCATATGGATCCTGGGGTCCATTATTGTATTACAACTGTCTAAAGTGTCACCTGGTGGCATCACACATTGATGCTCAGGGAGGCACTTTTCTCCCTCTGCACCGCTGAATGCTGACTCTGCTGTAACGTTACAATCGCACTGGATGTGCACAACGGTTTAAGGTTTAAAGTGGATTTTAGTTTGAAGCTAAAAAGAGTAACCTTCTGTTGAGGACAGCGCAGGTAACGTTAGCCCGCACAGGAACCGCAGTGTGTCCCCTCTGAAGCTGCATGGCTCATCAAAAGTAAAAATGCTCCACGCCAGGAAACATGCGGGATAAGCGGAAATATGTGTGTACTTACCTTAGACTCGTTTTCTTGTCGAAACGTGAATTAGTAGCTACATTCGTCCGCAATTGTTCATGATAACCAGTGTTATAAACTGAAACTGCAGACAAACACTAGCGTTAAGAACTTGCAGCTTCCCCTCAAGCTCACGCATCCAGGCAGCAAAGACTGTAAAGTCAAATAAAGCCGCAGCAGCAAAACCTCCTCTGATTGGCTGTAAATGCAGAACGAGCATGAGGAGCCAATGGGAGTGGGCGACCGTGCAGTGTAGGGAACTGCTGGTTGACCAATGGCATGTCAGGAAATCTGCTTAGCACCAAGTTTGTATTTGTACACGAGCTTCTTTTTGTCCTGGGTAAGAAAACATCGCAAAACCTTAATTTGAACATCATTTATTGTTCTTTCAACGCGTTTATATTGTTCGTAGTTGTAACAACGAAACAGTTTGAAGTTCAAACGGCACAACGAAACAAATGAAAATGTTGTTTTATTTTAAAAGTTGGCCAGCTTCCTCACGTTTCAAAAGTAGCTAACAGTTAGCTTCTTTAGCTAAGTAGCCGCAACGGTAACGCTCGCGCTTCTGTTTGACAGGACAACTTAACGTTAACGTCTATAAAATAACGTCACCTTGTACCTGGACGTTCCTAGCTTTAAACGTACACTAGAGACCGTTACATATGTTACAAATCTAAAAAAACAACCAGTTAGATACAGTTCGCTTCCTCTGGGTTTAATTAACGTTAGTTCTAACGTTACGGTCGTTTTTTTTTTATCGAGCATGGCTTTAACGTTAACTTTAAAATCCGACTAAATAATGTCACTCACTCAGCTAAATAGCGTTACCACTCTCAGTTTCAGGTCTGGTAAAGTTAACGAAGATGATGGACGCACTGTCGGTGGTGAGTCAGCTGCGGGACCTGGCTTCTGAGCCGCAGAACCGAGAGGTGATCGTCCAGGACCAGGGCTGTCTCCCCGGGCTGGTTCTCTTCCTGGACCACCAGAATCCAGACGTGCTGTTTGCAACTCTTCAGGTGGGTGAAAGAGGCAGGATAGGTGTGGTGAAGTGCTGTAACTTCTACTAACTGTACGTTGACTGCCAATTAATTAGTTTTTATTATATTCTGTAATGTGATGTTCCTACTGGTGAGACTGTGGCAGAGATTGCACAGGTTGTTGTGACAGATAATCCATCACAGGAAATATTAAGTTGTCTTAATAAGATTGTGGCATACTAATGTACATGAAGACTAAGATTATTTTGAATCCTATGTTAACTTGCATCTAAGTTCTGTTTGGAATCAGAAATACTTTACTGATCCCTGGGGGGAAATCTGATTGAATTTTAAAGCTGCAATATCTGTAATTTGAGAGTTCATCTCAGATAAAATTGACTGAAAAAGACTTAAAAAATCTACGTAACGTTACCTTACTAAAAAAAAAGAAAACTAATGGCTGGTTAAAAACTTTAAATATGAAATAAGATAATAATTCAGAGCAGCTTGTGCAATAGGTAAATTCTAATATGGCTGGGTGTGCATGTTTGCACAAATGTAGTGTACGTTTTAATCCCTCTTCTGTCTTCCTTTGTCCTCAGACCCTGCGTTACCTGGCTGAATTGTCCCCTAACATCCCTACCATGAAGAATGAACTGGGTATGATGGTGAGCTTGGAGAATCTAGTTGGGAGGTGAGGGGATTTTACACGATCTTGGTGACTCTTGCAAGATGTGCCCTCGTGTTTTCCTGAACTGTCTGTAGAGTATTTTATTGCATGTTTATGTGATTGGACCTGAAACTTTCAATGATAGTGCTTGAACTGTCAACTGTGTCTGTTCAATTCAGAGGTCTGTAACCAGGCTACATTTAATGTAATATTTCTCCATATAGGGAGGGCCTGTCTGTTGACATCACAGCATTGGCCCAGGAGGTGTTGGACATTCTGAGCGCACCTGCAAATCCTGTGCCACGCACACCTGAGAGGGAGAAGAGAAAGAAATCCCAGTTCTTTATCAACTCCTCCAACAAGAAGGCCAAGTCTGTCACTCTGCACATCCAGGGGCTTGACAGCACTGTGAGTAGGCTGACACACACACACACTCACTCTCTCCTATGCATGACAGTAGCGATTGTTGTTATTCCCAGAAAATGAACTAATACAGTCACCCTCGCTTATCAAGGACCAGCGAGGCTTGTGTGAGGAGGCTCTTCTGAAGGTCAGAGGGGTGATCAGCTTCACCTTCCAGATGGCTTCCAAGAGATGCACCGTCCGCATCCGTTCAGACCTGCCCACTGAGGTAATACACAAAAACACAAAGACAAACATTTATTATCAGTGTCAGCTCAAGAAGCAACCGGTCTGTCAAAATATGAGTTTATCCCTCTAGTCATATTCAACATTTGTATTATTGGATTGTCAAAGCCATTGATATACACACACACACACACACACACACACACACCACACAATGCAGGAATGTGGAGGGAAAAAAGTATACCTGATCTCTCGTTGACCTTGGTTGATTAATTCCAGTCACCTCCTCCTCTGATTTTCTTAATTTGCAGAGTCTGGCATCGGCCATTGCTGCCACTAAGGTGTTGTCAGCCCAACAGGTGGTAAAGAATGAGGCAGGAGAAGAGGTGAGTAGTGCTCATAGAGCATGCCTTTTGACTGTAAAAGACTTGACCGTATACTATTTTATCCAAGGGAGAATAAACCCATAATTGTGGAACTGTGTTCACACTGAACTTTCAACTTCTCTCTTCAGGTTTTTATCCCTTTGAGCTCATCTGGAGTGGAGGTGCAGCAAAACTCGGCTATACCAGACTACCTCCCTGAGGACGACAGCCCAGAGAGAGAGGTTGACCGAGCAATTTCCCGCACAACAGCCAAGGAAGATTCTAGTGGAAGCTGGCTCAACACTGCTGCCAGCTTCCTCACCAAAACCTTCTACTGGTGAAACCGGTGCAAGTTTGATTCCCGGAGATGCAGTGATGCAAAGTTGTTATAAGAATTCCCCTACTGCTGTGTGTTACTGGAGTGGACATTACTGGATGTTTACACATTGCAGGCAAACATCCTGACTACGTGTGAATGGACTGAATTTCACCAACTTGCCATCAATTCTTCTGAAAAACTACACATTATCAACGTGCAAAATCACTTCTCGTTTTACCTCTGTGGTGCTTACTTAGTGGATTGAAGGCACACACACACTTGAAAAAATATTTTGTCTCTGGAATGTTTTCTACACAAAATTCCTATTAAATGTAAATATTTTCTGTCTGACTTTTCAAACTGTCCATTTTCTATCTGCGTGTAAAATAAAAAAGTGCTACTTTTCTATACAGTTGGGGAAAGTCTGTGTATCCTGCTGTGTTTGTTAGTAGTTGTATTTTATGCTAAAATAAAACTACAAAGTATTACATGTATTCAATGTGCACTGTGAATTTCCCCATTATTTTTCTGTATTTGGATAAAGGATGACAATCATTGCACACATACAACATCAGTGAATAGGTAATCAATTCAAAAAGTTTTACTAACTTGCGAAACAGTACGGCTGCAACAGTTGTACAGTGATTTCATTTTTACAGTGGTTCAATGATCTCATACACAGCCCCTCTTCGGAAGTAAAGGGCTTGTTAATTTTCAAAGCCTCGTCAGTCTTAGTAAAATATATCAACTTTTAAACAATTTATAGGATATCTATGTATAATGTCATTTACAAGTGATTTTGCTTCTGTTAAAGCAATACATTTTCAAGTTACCATGTTGATAACAATGCTATGTACTACTGGCAGAAACCAGCACTACATAACCAAAGACATGCTTAATCCTTCTGAAGTTTCCTTCCATTTTGGTAGAACGGCAAGATTTGAACATGAAGAGGAAAGTAAGTGCAAAGTTTCAGAACAGAATGCGAAGAAAGATGAGAAAAGATGGAATATCACAGAAGTGTAATGTTTGGGTTGCAGGGTTTTACTTGAATCCCTGTCATGAAAACCTGTATGAACATGACATAGCTCTTGTATGACGATATAACAGACAGACTCACACAGCATTTTTAGCATGATCTTTCATACTTTTAACACATCAAGAAAAGAAAGCCACTGGAGATTATGGGCGTGGCCAGAATGCCATACTGGGAATGCGTATATCTTCATTTCAGTGAGGATGAGTACAGACAAGTCACCTCATTCTTCATACGATGCGGTAAGGCAAAGGAACATCAAAATAAGCAGCATTTATTCTTAAATCCTTCATCAAAAAGATCAGATCTGCAGAGTTAACAATAATTCATAATTATTTTAATCCATTTTGTACTTTGGCCAAAACAAAAATTAACACAAGGCAGCTAAGCTACAGTGGAGTCCTCCAACACTGCCCACCAGGTTACACGGTGCGACAGGACGTAGCATGCAGCACTGACAAATGAAAGACTTGACGTCAAAGCAGATTTTCTTTTTTTTTCTCAATTTGAGCAGAAAGTAAAGTAAGGATGAGGACGAAACAAAGAATCACATTTTTATCTGTACAGCAATTAAATAAAACTAAACAAAAAAATCATAAGTTTACAACCTAATTCTCAACTGAGACAACAGTATTTTCATTTTCTCATTATTTAACTCAAACTCCATGATGCTCCAACGCCCCTGCCTCACCCCAATAATAACCTCCAGTCTTAAACACTGTAGACACAGCAAAAATATATTACATGACATGAACTTTCCTGCAGTCTTAATACAACTTCATGCACTGATATCACTCCTACATCCCATCTCTGGTGTAACATTTCAGAAGCAATGTTGAAACATTACAATTACGAGATTCCAGATAAAGAGAGGAAATGCGTTAATGAGACCTTGTAATTCGGAGCCTGTTGTGCGAGTTCCAGTTATAAACGTCACTGATTTTGTCAGTCTGATTACAGTGTGTTCAACAGCGACAGAAAAAAAACTCTTCAAGTATCAGGGCTGAAGACTTTACAGCTGATCTCAGTTTACATTATTATTAGTCTCTCATTCACACACACACAGAAACGCACACATCACAAGAGAGTCACAAGGTGGAATAGGCTTTCAAAGCCCTCTTGTGATTTCAGGACTTTTGCTTCAGAATGAGGGGTAGTTGGGGCTGTACACGGAACATTATGACCGAGTGTAATCATGTTCGGAGACAGGGAGACGGATCTGTCCCCCATAGAGTTTGTTGAGGGACGAGTAACTTCTCTCTGGAGATGCATTAGGTAGATCTTTGGAGACACCATCTTTGGGAAATGGCTTCAGTGCTCTTCTGTCGTGGGGAGGGTCTTGGCTGTGATGCTGCGACTCCTTCCTTTGATTTAGTCCAACAACTCTGTGTTACCTCTCTCTGACCGTCTCACTTCCTGTCTCTCTAGGCGTGGAATCATCTCGGTCTATCGGGGCATCAGGCAACATCTGAAAACAGCAACAGAGAAGAACGCCAGCTGAAAAACTGTATGCGCTGAAGCTACTTAGTCCAACACATTAATGTTACATAACCTGTACCTCCTCTTTTACTTGTTACTAGGATGATTTGATGACTGCCAAAATGTCTTTCTTTTTACCTGGTCTGATGGTCTTAAAATTGAACACTGACTAGTATTTTAAGTTGCTCTGGAAAGCACCATCTGCCAAATTTCACAAATGTAAATTGCAATGTAAATGAAGCCAACTGCCCATTTCAGCTAACAATGGAGGTACCGTGTGTGACGCTCAGAGTTAAGAAAAAGGACAGATGAAGACCAGGAGGAGAAACAGCGAAGAAATAAAAGTAAAAGCCACACAGTTAGAAAACAGGAAATGTGTGATAAACTTGCACCTGTCATGTGAGAAGCATCAAAACAAAGGTTTAAGTCTATTGAGTCAATGCAGCAGAGGCTGAGGTATCTTCATTTTCAGTCTTTAGTACGGGTGATGGTCCAGAGAAGTTGGATCCTACATTTCCCATAATGCAACTTAATATGGTTTGATTAGATCCTCCATGTGATTAGGCACACATCACCACACCAGAAATGTTTATTGCAGGTTTTCTAGCAAAAATGATAAGTCTCAAGCTCACACCAAGATATTTTCACAAACTCTGGAAAGCTCCTTCCAGAGCCACAGTAGACAAAATACAAAGATTTTCACAGGCTCAGCAGTAACTCACACCAAAAGCTAAACACAGTGAGCGACATCCTCTGTAAATATATCAAGAGAATAAATTAATGATGATGAAAATTAATAGAAGCAAGTGCAGAAAGAGACAGAAAGAGAATGCTTATAGACCTGGTCCCTGCTGGGCTGATATGTCCTCTATTCCACTTTGGGGCTTTAGGAGACCGTTCTCCCGGAAGGCTACGACAGGAACTCTCTCTTCCTCCTGCTGCTGCTGCTCCTCTCCCTCAGGAGGAGACAACCTGGACTGTGAAGGCAGAACAATCACCTCCTCAAACTCCCCGTTCTCCCTGGAAAAACAGAGGATGGAAAGGAGAATTATTCAAACTGTTACCCTCACTACAGTCATGGATTAATGTGACGATTTGCATAACATTTACGTCTGGTCAGGATGGCTCAGTGCGGTGGGGTTGGGGTCTGGGTCGGGGTCAGATTGGCGACCGTTGCTGTTGCTATTGTGTGTCGGTGACACAGTCACTGCAGATGGGCTAGGAGCTGCTAAAGATAAGAGAAAATCAACACAGCAGTCAGAACGACTAGAGTGGATATATGACACAGGAACGACAGTAATAATTCTGCAGTCGTTTATCAAAATAATGGAAGAATGTAGAAATGTATGATTATAGAAAACATTAGTTACCTGTATTGTCTCCATTCCTGTTAGGGACAACTTTCTAGAGATGGGAAATAATAGAAAGAGAATGAATACTCTAGAACAACATAGACTACTCATGGTTAGTTAGTTCATGGTATTTCTTTTAGCCGTTACCTTCTCTGCTGTGTCTGAACGTCTTGTTCTCTTCATGATCTCCTCCAGACGCTGATGAGAAGAAGAGTTTTACATGCACTGTGCATGAGGAATAATATGAAATATTACATATGTGCGTGAACATGCATCACCTTTTTCCTCTCCAGGCGTTCAGCCTCCTCTTTCTGGAAGTGTTTCTCTCTCTCCTGCCTCAGTCGCTCTGCCTCCTCTCTCTGTCGAGACTCTTCCTCCTCTTTCTAAAACACACACACACACACACACACACACACACACACACACACACACACACACACACACACACACACACACACACACACACACACACACACACACACACACACACACACACACACACACACACACACACACACACACACACACACACACACACACACACACACACACACTTATTTTATTGTGAGATTGACAGATTTCTAGGGTAGGTCTGCCAAGTTCACTTATACACTTTCTCTGACCTGTCTCTCTGCCTCCTCTCTCTCTTTCTGTAGTCTCTCTTCCTCCTCCTTTCTCTCCTCTTCCTCCTTTCTCTTTCTCTCCTCTGCCTGACGTTGCGCCTCCTCCTCTCTCTTTGCTCGCTCTTCTGCCTTACGGCGAGCCATCTCCTCCTTCGCTAACCTGTACAGACACGAAAATGAATCACAGCCAAGGATGTAGATACATACACCAGTATTATCCAACTCCTTGCACTGTCACACATATTGACATGTCAGCGTACCTTCCCTGCTCCTCCTGTTGCCTGCGCTCCTCTTCCTCTTTCTCTCTCTGCTCGCGGGCCAGTCGACGATTCTCAGCCATGATACGACTCGCCTCCTCTGGATCTGTGGTGCCTGCTGAGGGCTTGTAGGCTGGAGGACTGCTTACACTCTCTAGAAAGCATTTTAATTTAAATTATAAGCTGATAATCCTAACGAACATTAGAAAAAGCAGTTTACCATTCCCAGCTTATTCAGCCAGTAAAAACCGTGATAATTGCACATTAGGTGTTGGAAAGTGGTAACTGACCGCTGGCTGCTGCTGGTGTCTGCTCACTGTTGGTCTTGTTCTGACCTAGTGGCTGGGGTCGAGGCTGAGGAGGACTGAGGACCTGCTCTTTCTCCTCCTCTTCTTGAGCTCTGGTGGGTTGAGGGATTTCGGGTGTGATCCTGAAAGGTCGAAGGTTTCCAGGGTCCTCTGGCCCCGGAGACTTCAGCAGTTTGGGGGTCGGGGGCCGCCCTGCTGACTTTTGTGGAGGCCTGTGTGCAGGAAGGAAATTAGCATTTGGCTACAAATTACTGGCTAAAATAGTTTTCATGGAACTTTGTTATCTTACCTTTATTCAACAGTAGTAAAATAAGCTCAGCATGAAAAAACAGTCACATATATACTTGCCCAAAACCTTGCAAAGCTGTGACACCCTCTTCCTGCTCCAGTATATCACAAATCTGCTTATGTACCTCACTTAATCAGCTGTCATATGGGCGTTCTCCTACCTGCCAGGAGAGGGTGCTGTCTCTTTGCTGTTCTTCTTGCCTGGAGAGGAGGAGTGCTTGTTGGGGGGCAAAGTCAATATGGGAGCCAATGGGAGTGACAGATTGCTCCATGACTTCCTGACATTATCACGGTCCTTATGCTATTGGTACAGGAGATGGAGGGAAACAAAGAGATGAAAGATTACTATTCAAAATGGGCAGGATTTCTCTTCATTGAAGTGTCCTACGCAACACACAAAGTAATCAGGTAGTACAGAAGGTGCCCAGATTCAGGTGCCCTACTAACGGTAGAGGAAGATGATCAGTAACAGGATTAGACTCAGACATCCTTCCTTTGGCTGTGCATAACCTCTGGCACCAAGCAGCGACACTAACATAAATTACCCTACTGTAACTGCCAGAATTAAAAAGTCAACCTTTTCTCACTCCCACTCACAAGATATCTATTATCTCCTATTTGCAGAGAAGATGAAAACGATTGTAGTTTGATGTGAAGGGAACCAAACCCTCACTCACGTCATTACTAACCTACAGTACACTGTGCCTAGACATTATGGCACATGAGTGGTATGAGTGGTATAACCGGTATATCACAGGTATGCTGGATTGGGTCTAGATTAGGAATGTGTTTGTGTGGTCACTGTGTGGAATAGAAAGTACAGAAGATGTCCTCCTTCTAAGACCTTAATGGAATAAGCTGCGACACAGCAGCAGACAGATGGACAGTGGGTACAGTGGTGTGTGAGTGTAAGGAGCAGAGCAATACAGATACTCTGATATATTGTGTCTGACTGATTTGGGACATCATCAACATGAAAATGATGAATAAGAGGAAGAGGAGCAAAAAGCAGTAAATCAATTGTGAGTGTGCGCATAATAAAACGCCCAAAAAATGATGTGTGTGCACCACAGTTGCTCATGCACAGGCTCACAGAGACAATCTGTCAACATCAAGATCAGATATTTAAAGCAAATAAAATCAAGGAGGTTATAAGATAAGGTTAAATTATTTTTACATTATCAAAATATTCAGTCAAACGCAGATGCAGGTTGATGACATAACCCACCTGTGGGCCGCCGATGGTCCTCCTGCGGGCAGTCTTGGAGGAAGACGAGGCCGTCTCCCTGCTAAGGTTTCTCTCATGGCTGCGGCAGTGAGGAAGTGGCTGGGCCTGCAGGGCCTTGAAGGACATGGAGCCCATGGGGTGGCAGGACACTGAGCGAGGACACACAGGCATGGCTAGGGTGATGTACGAGGTGGGAGTTCGGAGCGTTTTGAGGAAGGCATTGATCAGGGCAGTGTGAGGATTTATGGAACGTCAGAGTGTGAGGGTTTGATAAACAGGAGAATGGAGCAGGAGAACGGAGCAAGCGATCGGGAAAGAGGCAGGAATGACAAGGATGTCAGATGAATTAATAAATGGAAGCCGTGAGTTTGGTAGGACCAGCGGAGGATTGAGAGGATTGAAAAGAAGATGTTTGGTAGAAACAGAGAAGAAGAAAAAGAAGGCATTAGTGCTACTGACTGGAAGCCCAGCAACTATACAAGCTAATATACTGCAACCATCACTTGGGAATTGTAGGTCAAAGAAATTAACGTTGTGTTTTAAGAGAAGTATTTAGTAGGGTTGATTGGTCAGGTTAAAGACTGAGAAAATGTTGTTTTGCCAACTTTAAAAACCACAACACAATATGGAAAATGTTCCATTCACTTTGTGCTATATGACTTCTTTAAGGCATCTAGATAGGAGTGGTTTGGAAAACCAATCCTCACTCTAAAAACTCCCAGTGGTGGAAGCATCTCTACTTTGTCATTCAGTCAGACAAAAATACTGATAATGGATGCATTAGACACCAACACCACACAGAAGTGAGCATGCAGCAAAATACACAAAACATACGCAAGAAGTGCAACTTCACACACTGCAGACAGTCTTGAATATATACATGCGCAGGGTAGAGAAAGACATATGATTGTGTTGTGTGAGTAAATGTGAGTGTGATCTTGTGTAGTTGAGTGTGATTATTCCAAAAAACACACAAGAAAAACAAACTTCCTTTAAACAATGGAAACAGTTAGAAATACACAAGAGTTGGTTGAACGCACGCACGCATGCATGCACGCCACACACACACACACAATCTAGTCATTGTTGCCATGGTAACAATAGAGGGAGACAGGGAATGATATCTATAGGGGAATACTTCCTGAACAGCTTGTGTGGGTGTGTTGTTGTTGTGTGTGTGTGTGTGTGTGTGTGTGTGTGTGTGTGTGTGTGTGTGTGTGTGTGTGTGTGTGTGTGTGTGTGTGTGTGTGTGAGCTTTGAGTGCCTGATACAGGCTGGTGAAGGAAGTTTCAGACGGTGTAATGCTTTAAGTCTGGCCAAATCTGATTAACATCCAAAACGGTTCTAGTCAAGAGACCAAATATATAAGCAGCACAAACACATGAGTTGTGATTCCCTGTTTTGTGCGCACTTGACAAACTCATCCATTTCACTGGTTACTGGCCGTAAGAGCCAGGAGGGGTCTCTCATATGGGATGTGTATACATTACCTGTTTGGTCTCCAGACAGACTCATGGCACTGCGGCTACGAGCCAAGTAGGAGTGTGTTGGCTGCTGCAGGCGGTTCACCACGTTGCTCTCCCATGGCGTCAATGGAAGACGGCGCAGGCCTGAACACACACGTAACATTTGAGGTTTGATAACGACTAAAACTATTAACCACCCACTGATTAGCCTAAGCAATCAGTCAAAGCAGATTACAAATGATGCACAATTACTGTATTTGTTACCCATTCCTTCCCCCACACTGCATAGCAGTGTAGGCAAGGGCTAAAGTGAAGTGGTAACCATGCACAGGCCGCTTTGTTACACCTACACCTGCATGCACCAGTTTGTTAATTATAAAAAGGAAGCAAAAGGCCTCGAGTGAAGCACAAACCAAGAGCAAACACAGGGAGGAGAGCATTCAAAAACAGTGAGGAAAGAAAGACATATTGCATCTGCTTTTTAAGACAATAGTCTTCACTTAAGCCTGCTTCAAGAAATCTGTGAATTAACCTGGCAAAAAATTTTAAGGAAGGCCGAAAGCTTTTATGCAAGTAAGTTCAAATATTTGGCCATGCAGAGTCCTTGGTACCTGGGTAGGGATGTTGTAATAGTGCACATAATGTATAGCTAATTATCTGCTATAGACAAAGCAACAATTAATTAATCTTCTTGATAACCAGATAATCAGGCAAAACATGCAGCATTGCTCACTTTGATAATGAAGCAGAGAACAGGTTGCAGGTTTCAGAGTGAGAGGGGAAGATACAAATGGGCTGGAAACTGTGCAAAGAAGTTCAGAGTTTGTGTTACACTAATTAAATGTGTGATGTTTCTCTTTGAATTTGTCTTGGCAGCATAAAATGTGGCACATGATTACATTTTACATGTATAATTATGTGTATGTCCAATTGTTGAAATGTGGGTGTTGATTTGTCAGCTGGGATAAAAACAGCGTTACAGTGTTCCCACAAAAACAAAAAGATTATCCTACAGAGGATTAGAGAAAGGGGTCACGCTAGAGGAAAAAAAAAACTTGATCCCTCTGATGAAATACAGAGAAGTGCTAACGCATGCACATGTACGGAATAGTATATGCTATTAGCCGAGTGGGGACCCTGGATTTGATTATCATACTATGAATATTGTACACATCATTCTGTATGTAGGTCTTCTTAGGACTACCAGTGTTTTCTTAATTGGAGTTGGACAGTATGCATGGTAATCACAGTTTCTTTGGAATTCCTCAACAGTCTCTAGCCCATGATCTTTTTGCTTTGCAACATAGTGTGTAACACAGAATATGTGGGACCAAACTGCAAAAGTTCCCAGAAAACACCTGTGTTTTTGTGCTGGGTGGTCTTTCCCTGGTGTAGTCGGGGTTTGGACTGAGCTTTGCTAATGACAGGAGAGGAGGCTGTTCTCATCTGTAAGCCTGTCAGCAACATATGAAAATTAAAGAAATATGTGATCTATTTGTTAGAGTAGCATTTAAAAATGTATATATATATATTTCAAAAGAAACTGAAGAAAGAAAAAGAAGATTGTCTGACATTCTGGGAATTATGTTGAGAATTAGATGAGGAGAATACCAGGTCTTATAACTGCCGTTGAATATGAAGATTCAGCAGAGGCCCTGTTAACTTAGCTTAGCATAAAGAAAAAAAGGCGGGAAATAGCCTGGTTCAGTCTAAAGGTAACTAAAACCTACCAGCACCCCTGCCACTTACTAATTTACAAAATTATATTTTGTTTATTTAATCCGTACAAAAGTTGTAGTAAAAACAGCAGGTAGTGGTTTTAGAGGGTTTACCATTTCTTGGCTGGGCACAGTGACTTCCTGGAGACTCAGCTGCCTGGCAATCTCACAAGACCTTCATAAAACCACAACTTGTCATTGATATACTCGCTTTAGAGGTGGTGGTAGGCTGCTTTTTTACATTCAGGTTTAAGTTGACTCTAGCAGTTTCCCCCCCTTTTTATCCTAAGCTAAGCTAACTGTCTGTAGCTTTAAATTTACCATAAATACATAGGAGTAATACCAGTCTTTTCATCTAATTCTTGGCACAAAAGGGAATAAGTATTAAAATGCTGAACTGTTGTTCCAACGTTCCATTTTTTGTCCACATCAATGTCACTGCTCCCCTAAATCGCATTTAGTCAACAAACACAAATTACATAAGGTGCAGCCAAAGGCAGACCATCACAAGTGGATACTATAATGAATAATACTTGTGTTTCTTTACTACTCTTCTTTACATTTACTTGTGTAATGTTCATTTCCATTACCTCGATCTGGTGAGTGTAGGAGTGTGGCAGAGGAAGAGGAGAGACGCTTGGTAATAACAGGGTCTGTGTGTTTGGATAAATTCATCGTGGACACTGACCGCCTGTCAGCATCTAGAGACAAAGAAGAAACATGATAAAAGCAATTGAATGGCATGTTAAATAGGTGGACTTAGAGATAAAGAACATGGGAGGAAAGACAGCTAGAGCCAGCAATCTCTCTTTGGAGGGTCACTATAGTCTATTTTGGTTAAATCAGGTTAGAAATGGAAAATCTACCAACGTGTTGCTAAAGGGAGAAACATATTAGAAAATGAATTAGTGCTAAATGGGTCTTATGTCATCTAAAAATTAAGCTAAAATGGTTTGAATGACAGATCCTGTGTCTCGGGATATAATTTTAAAGTAAAAACTGGATTGCTACATGCAAATAAAACAACAAACACTAATCATGCCATTCACATTGGCCTACATTTACACTAATGCCAGTGAGCTAAAAACGGGGCTGGACAGTTACAGTGCTAGAGCCAGCGGTCTAACACTGGCTGGCTAACTGACACAGTGCTATAATATTCACATTGGGAGGTCATTCCGTATCTGCGGTAGAGACTGAAAGCACTCTGCATGTGCTCCAGTCCAGCAAGGTCGAGTGGATAGAGGAAAGCCGACTCGACAAAACCTGGACCAGGAGGGGAAAGGACAATGGCAGAGAAACAAAGAGTGGACAGGAGATAGAGGGAGATCCGAGAGCGGGGGTAAGAGAGAGAGAGAGAGAGAGAGAGAGAGAGAGAGAGAGAGAGAGAGAGAGAGCGAGAGAGAGAGAGCGAGAGAGAGTTTGAGAATAAGGAAGAGAGAGAGAGGGGGAGAGGCAGAGCAGGGTGTGAGTCAGCAGTAACAACAGAGGCCAGGGGATCTGAAAAGTTCATATACAAACATGGCAGAACAATTCTGACACGCAGAGGCTGGTAGACATATTTACACAGGAGACACACTGTCAGTGATCAGGGAGATGAAATATCATAAGTGTTCAATAAAACTAAAAGCACTGGTACTTTCAGGAGGAACACAATACTGGCTCAACAATACTCAAAAATATTCTCAAACAAACTGGAAGACTGTAGGGCAACATGTCACTTACATGTCAACGTACTGTAATACCTGTGGGACAGAGTAGTGTACTGCAGATACTGTACGTAGGTGTGTGATGTGTGAAAGTACCGGCTGGTGTGCTGGGAGTGTTTGTGTTCAGTGCCCCTCCCCAAGACCATCGGTTGGGCTTCTGCCTGGTTCTCTGGCTCCTTTCCAATGTCCGACGTATCACCGCCTCATGACGAGCCTTCAGTCACAAAAACAACAACAATACTGTCACGTAATCAGCATGAACAAAGACTGGAGCAGATTATTGATCATTTTCTCTGAATGGACATCAGTTGTACAAGTACCTGGCAGATAAAATCAAATTGTGATTACGCAACATGCTAAAAAGGAAAGCAGTTTATCTTTTTAGTACCCAGAATTAAGACATTTTCTAGGCTGCTGCAATGCCAAAAAACACTGCGACAACACACTAACGTCAGAACTATTCTGTGGGTCTCTCAACTGATCATCGTTCCAAAGTTCATTAAATCAATAACCTAATTAGAGCATGAACTCCCTCTGACGTGATTTCCAAACTCCCCAACAGGAGACGTAAAACTCCTTTAATAGGACATTATGCAAAGGCATTGTTGGCTCCAAAAAACCTCAGACTAAACAAAACTCCACACAGTTAATGTCCAACTTTTCACTTGAAATATTCTAGTGTTTAGTGTGTTATTCCCATTGCTCGGGGACTCTGTAATGCACTTTGGGTTCCCTTGGATCTGAAATGTGCTATATACATACATTTGCCTTGCCTTGCCTTGCCTTGCCTTAATAATAATTTTTCCTTGTTTTGGTGGTGAAGTTTTAGGATAATTACTTAAAAAAAAACATAAGCCTCAATTCATGGTGGTCACCAACTGCTCTTCTCACCTCAACTTATAGCCTTTGACAAGCTTCATTAACTTCTGAAATCAAGCCCAAATCAAAGGTTCAAAAACAAAACAAGAAACAAGAAATATGTATTTCTGTATAAGTTTCCCACTGAGGGAAGGTGCATGAAGCGTTTAAATACAGACATTTATTAGCCTGTTCGTGACGATGAGAATTATTGTTGTTGCACTGAAGTTGTCCGTGCATGTGTGTTTACGCGAGGAGTGACAAGATCATGATGCACAAGTGTGTAAAAGGCCATGTTAGTCAGACCTTGTCTTCCTCCAGTTTCTGCCGTCGTTTCTCTTCCACGGCAGCCCGTCTCTTGTCCTCCTTTATCCTCTGCTCCTCTAGCCTTCTCCTCCTCTCCTCCAATTGCTTCTCATAGTGCTGCCTAGCACGCTCTTCACGCGCCTGCCACTGGGCCTCCTTGACAGCTGAGCATGGTGCATGCACAAGCACACACAAACACAGTTAAAACACAGTTAATAATGACTTGATGCACGTGCATTAGTGTGTTCACATGGGCTCGCATGCGAGAAAAAAGAAAAGAAATCATACATATGAACAAACACATCCCACATGGACACACACACAGGCTTACAGCAACAGTGTGATGGGTCAGCTGGAGATCATGTGACTAGACTTGAGCTCTCAACACAAATCCCTCTGACCCTCAGCTGGGGCCAGAGGTTTGACCACTGCACAATACTATGAACACAAACACACTTCAAAAATGAAAACATACAAACATAAATATGCCAAGACCTTCTAAAAACCCAGTTGTTAATATGCGTTAGCCTGTTCATGAGGATGTGTCACTTGCACACATCCAAAACATTAGCCTCGCTAAACCCTGCCCCATGGCCTGACCCATTATGTAACATTGGTGCCATGGCAACGGGGGGGTGCCTGGCTTCTGCCTAGACTTTATGTAACAACCAGAGAAACGGGCACATTTCCACAGCTACACACAGAAAGACAAAAAGGAAAGTGAGGGATGCATTTAAAGCCTTTTACACATTAACATACAGTCTACTCTCTGTCTCTCTCTCTCAAACACACACTCACACTCTCTCCCCCCCCTCTCACACACACACACACACACACACACACACACACACACACACACACACACACACACACAGTTAAAGAATACCCACCATTCTGTTTCTCACGCTCCCCTCGGCGCTCACGCGCTAATCTCTGTCTCTCGTCAATCTTGTTGAAGAGTAATGAGTCTGCAACACAAATAACTGTTAAACAGCAGAGTCAACTACTCCACAACTGAGTTTAATGTCTTATTATGATTGTTTTAACTTCAGAGAAATATTTCCCTGTATATTGTTATGCCAGTGTGACTTGCCTGTTTTCGTGGCAGCATTGTTACTGGGGCTGTTGCTGGTGGTGGTGCGAGTCGGGGTGGGGGTAGGGGTCAGGGTGGGAGTGTAGGTCTGCCCAGAGCCCGCAGAGCTGGGGCGGGTGGCTGAAGACGTTCTGCCATCCTCCGATTTATACTGGGAGTAAGACGCTGGGGAAAAAGACAAACCAGACAAGTGTCAAAAACAAAAACTTTTTGAGAAAGCAACCACGAGGGGAAACAAGAGACCAACAGAGAACCGTACATTAGGAAGATCCATCACTGACAATGTTAATGCATCATTTCGAACATGAAGACAGTATTTATTCAATGCTATTGACTTCTGTCTCTCCGATACAGCATAGGGATATCTCTTTCTTGTTAGCAACTGATTTGTACAAATAACTGCAATATAAATAAGAAAGCAATTGCTGACTGATGTCCTTTCACTTCTGGCTCTAAAGTTATACTTTTACTGGAAGAATACAGAGTGTTTGATCATTTATACAGTATCAACCTCTTCTTTTAGCTATTGGATCATTTTCTTTTAATATGAACATAGATGAAAATACAAATTTACAATATGTGTTGTCACAGGCCATAAGGTGCCAGGAGGTCTAGAATAGTGTGTGTGTGTGTGATGTATCAAAAAAAAGAGTGAGAAAAACAATATGCGAGTAAAAGAGGAACTGAACAAGACAAATTATGTGAATGAAAAATACTGATTAAGAAGAGGGTGCCCAAACAAACCTAAAGTAAACCACCTTCAGCCTGGCAGTCGGCATGTGCTGCCTCTACTGTACTCTCAAGCTCTATTTTTGGCAACATTTAGGGCTTGTGCAGTATAACCTGACAGGAAACAAAATGGGGTAAGATGATATATATTGTGTTCCCTGTATCCTCAAACGTTCCCGGTGTGTTGCAGTGTTTTCACTCAGCTCAGAGCGAGGCTATTGATTAATGGTGGTATCAGGCTCAGGGTGACTCAGCACTTTCAGGGCAGCCTCCTGGACACAGGCACAGAGCTTAACATTGGGCCTAATGCACAAACAGATGAGCCTTTCCCAAATGCTGTAAAATGGGGTAAAACGCTGGCTTAATTAGTCAAGGCCAAACGGTATTATAGTGGCAAACATTATCACAATCTGCAGACAGGGTTCTTGACATGTCAGCGAGAGTTAGGTCTCCACAGAGACCAATATGTCCCAGAAAGTCGAAGACTAAATTAAATGGTTTCCCCAGAGCCAGACTAAACCGACATACTACAACACGTGGAATCTACCTGAAATAGCACAAGCTACACACCCTATTCTTTATTTTTAGACATGGTTTCTTTATCTCTTCACTTCAGTGACATGTTAGCTCAGCAGGGGAATTAATGATGCCGATAGAAGAGGAGCAAAGTTCAAGTTTCATATCCACAGTGGACACTCTTACACCTGGATGAACAAGCTCAAGTGCACTGGGTTTAAATGTAACAATCAGAAAGTAAACTGCATCTCCATTATGCATAATGAAATGCTACTACTGACGTTCACCCTCAGCTGAGTTTTGTTTGATCAGATTAGCCTGAGATATTTATGCGTCACTTAAAGTGTATTCAGACACAAAGGACTGAGAACTGCTGTACTGAGTCATGTGTTATACTGTATATACTGCTATTGCTGTTTGTCATATAGACTAAATAATATCTTAACTGAATTCGAGTTAATGAATCGAAATTTGGAAAAGCTAGGAACAGATGAAGGCCTAGGAGGACAGACCAAACATCTGTATTCAAATTGTATCTTTGACGAAACAATCTTAACTCAAGAGTACACTTACTACCTTTTTTCTGGCCTTCATCACAGTGGATGGAGTTTGCACTTTTATATATATTTTTTTTACTTGCTGCACTGCTGAGCAGTTATGAAATTACTGGACTTTTGGGCCGCTGCAACCAACAAAAGGCAAAAAGAGATGTTTTACGGTAATTTCACAAAGGACATGTTGGACAAAGACAAAAGATGTGAGGTCATAGCTGCAGTGGTATTGCATGTCGCAGTCTATGGGACATCAACAGAGGTCTGTGCACAAGTATTAACAGGTCTACCCAGCCTCAGGTGCACAAGCCTTGGAACTGGTTTCATAATGGCTATTGTTATAACAGGAAAGGTGGGGCTGGGCCAGGTTATAATAATGTCTGGTCAATGTATTCCTTTCCCTAAAATCATTTTCCTTAAACAAAAGATTAGCTCATGGAGAGAGGAGTTTATTGTGCTGCAGTCAAATACTACACTGGGAATTTGAAGAAACGTGTATCAAAAAGACACACCCTGGGGTGCCCTATAGCTCGTCTGGTAGAGCTGGCCCCTATGTACCAAGCCAGTGGCAGTTTTGAATCCAAACTTCTCTCTCCCCCCCCCCCCCCCCCCCCCCCCCCCCCCCCCCCCCCCCCCCCCCCCCCCCCCCCCCCCCCCCCCCCCCCCCCCCCCCCCCCCCCCCCCCCCCCCCCCCCCCCCCCCCCCCCCCCCCCCCCCCCCCCCCCCCCCCCCCCCCCTCTCTCTCTCTCTCTCCAATCTTCAGCTGTCCTATTCAATGAAGGCAAAAAGCCATAACAAAAAGACACAAATTGAGGAGCTCTTTCCATTTATGCAAGTTAACTTCTAGTGACTGATGAAGTGCACCTTCTGACAAGCTGAGAGGGCCACTACACAATAAGCTAGTGGTGACAGGCTAAGGGCAGAACTACTTTCCTCAATTTGACAGCTTGAACTGGAGCACTTCAGTGAAAAGAGTTGGGAATGCTCTGAACCACACAAATAAGGAACAGTTCCCTTCTTTGAAACGTCTGGCACAGAAACACAAGGACACAGAAGAGAACAAGCGTGATATAGACAAATGGAGACTGGTAAAGAAAGAAATTGCTACATTTACAATGAATTCATAAAATATAACAGTATTATTAGAAAAGCAGCATGCATACATCTAGCACTGAAATGATTCATGGTCAATATAATCTAAAGACCCACTCCCACAGAAACTGTCTGCAAATTCTTGTGGGAACCTCGGATCTTTTGAGCAGGCAGTAGTAATATGATACATCTAGAAAAACAGAGCACACATATGACTAACAAAGAGGGATACCAATGAAAGCAGGTGTGTGCTTTAAAAGCAGTGGTCCTCAACTGGCGGCCCGTAGGCCACATCAGGTCAACCAAAGCTTCCCATCCAGCCTGCAGAATGAAATGATTAAAGTATTTAAATATTTTTATACTTAAAATATTACGAGGGTGTCTGTGGCGAAACTCACAGGAAAATGCTGTATCGAGCTATTTAACTGGTGAACCACAAGTTGACTTTTATTATTAAGTAGTATTCACAAGAAATGCAAATTTTTTTGACAGCTGATTAGTTTGTAATATAGCAGGAAGTAATGAAACAAGGAGCAACCACAGTGAGCGATTACAGGTAGAGTTGCAGGCGATGGGCTGCACTTCTCAATTTCTTAGGGAGGTAACCAAATACTGTCACTGTCATTGTTCACAGACGTATGCCCTGTGCTGCTTTAAAATGTATGTTTATGATTATGAATGAAATTGTATTGTTATTCTAATGTAAATTTAAAATAAATCTATTGTTCTATGTGTGTAGCATGAAAAGACTGCAAACTTTTATTGTACAACATTGTGTTGGATAATGATTTCCTTTATCTTTGAATAGCTAGATGTGGGCTATTCTCAGTATGTGTATGTTGAATAAATGATGCCATGTCAGATGTATGAATGTGTGGGTGTTTGTGTGTAACAACCCTACAGCCATTTCAGCTTTGCTTTACTCATTCTGTGCCAAGTGCTTCCCACTCTGAATTTAAAACGAAGTCTGCGGATATCACTTTACATTGCCTAAACAGAGTCTACCAAATACATAGAAAACCCAGAACTGAGGCCATTCCTACATACAGGAGAGGAGGTCAGTTGAGGTCAAATGGTGTCCTGTGGCTCGGGGTTGCAGATGAGGCTGTGTGCAGATTAGGCAGAGCTGTGTATTGGCAAGACAGAGATGAATGCTCTGAATGCAGGATTAGACTAGGAGTGATCTAGGAGTCATTTTTCCACATCATCTCTCCTTTATCTGCTTCCATATCTCTACAACATGTGCACAGGCAAAATGGGACAGCATTTTTATACTTTTATAACAGTTCATTGTCTCCTAATACACCATCATGTAATGTGGTGAACTTGTTTCTGGTGCAGTTGTTTCCTCCTGCTGCCTCTCACAGCCTCATTCATCTGTTGTAGAGGTCATTAAACACACAAACCTCAAACAGCAGCGAGTATATTTGCCTGTAAGCACTAGACAGCCATTTAACAACCTTTCAAACACCAAAGACTATTTCAGTTGGAGCACAGTGCTAGCTGTGAGAAATGTCCACGAGTGAACCTCTAAAGACCTTGACCACCTTTTGCCATGCTTATACATGAGGTTCCTCCATTTTTAATAAACCAAAGAAATACGTGGTTATCTATGCCACAGAACAAGTGCAACAATATTGAAACTCCAAATTCTTCTAATGAGAAAAAGAAACTAGACAAACTTTCACAACACACTGTAACAAACAATAGCTTAAGAGTGTTTGGGGTTTTCAAATCTATATTGGGTTGACAGTGTAGGATCTGTCTGATGCTTAAGGACTGCAGTGGATGTAAACACCCTTACCTTAAAGATGAATGCCTGTACTTTAACGCCATAGCCATGTTTTATTTCAAGTCATTTCAGAGTACAGAGCCAAAACAAAACGGTCCTGTTACTTACAGACTGCACTGTACTCGTGTTCACTTCCTACCCGGCACAATGTTCAACCTGTGTCGATAGATCAATAAAATATGCAGGAGTCCTGGGACCAATTCGCAAGTCTTTACCTGGATTTTGGTTCATGATTTCAGGGGTGTCAATCCCAGGATGAGACCTGTTTAACCCCTGGTTGGCGTCCCACTCCGACTAGTCAGATCGGAGGGCCAGAATCAACATTCCTACTTCCTGAAAACATCCTACACAGTGGAAGATAAGCTCGAATCCAAAGTCCATGGTGCAGTGAAGGGCATGAAGGAGAAAGCTAAAAGAAGAAATTCCAAACAACAACCCCGAAAAACGGACACCGAAAACTCAAGTTTTTCAGAGTAAAGGGGAAAGCAGGAAGGGAGAAATGGAGAGGGGTCAGCTCTGGTCGGTGTCACTGTCGCTGAGAGCCGACTGAGTGTGAGACAGGTTGTGGCGACTCTCCAACCCCCATCCTTTTGTCCATAAGTGTGTGTGTGTTTATGTGTGTGTGTGTGTTTGTGTGTGTGTGTGTGTGTGTGTGTGTGTGTGTGTGTGTGTGTGTGTGTGTGTGTGTGTGTGTGTAAAAGAGACAGAGAGTGGGACACAGGGAGAGTGTGACTGTTTAATCTGCCCCTCCCTCCCGTAGTGCTGGTGTGTGTGAGCGCGAACACGCTCCCCACCCCCAATCTATCTGCCTTCATTGGCAGTCAGATTAAATGGTCAGAGTTAGCGATTAATGCTGTGCTGTCCAGGCCAGTGGGTAGCAGGCGAGCACACTGTGCGGCTCCTGCCTCCCCTGCAGCCTGAGAGGATTAGCTGCTGCTAATGCTAAGCTAAACGCTAAGCTCCAGCCAACAGAGACGCAAAAGGGGGCAGGGGGTAGTAGGAGTCCTCCTGTCTGAGAGGAGGGTGCTACTGCATTTGTTGCACAGGACAGGTACAAGTTTCAGCTCAGATGATAGGAGGTATATATAGAGTCACTCAGTATGGCTTTTAACACTAAAAAAGACAAGACAAGTCAGACACAAAAAAAGCAAGTTTACTCAATTAATATAAATCAAAACTACATCTCAGCTCATCCAAGCAACTATTAACATAATGTATCCATCCAAACACTGCAAACCAGGTCATGCTTTTATACATATAAAAGTGTTTTTTTTTTTGTAGCTGAGGAAAAAGACTGCAGTATTTCTATCCAGATCATTTGATATGTAGGTTACGGTTGAACTTGACAAAACAGCCTGACACATAATACATTCACTTGGCATCTTTGAAATAAAGACAGTAACACAGCATAACTGTCATTTTTAAATAAAGTGTCACACATTTAAAAAAAGGTCCAGTGTGTAACATTTAGGAGGATCTATTGGCAGAAACGGAATATAATATTCAAAGATACGTTTTAATTAGTGTACAATCACCTAAATAAAAGAACCATTGTGTTTTGTTACCTGAAAATTAGCTTTCTTATCTACAGAGGCCGCCATGTTGATACAGGAACCCAGAATGGACAAACCATACACTTACGCTAGAAGGAAATGTAATTATTTAGTTTCATAATCAGACCAATTATCTTATATTTTTCTTTGTATACTAGTTGTTAGTATAGAGGCAAATAATTTTGTTTCATTTGATGAGGTTGGCTTAGAGCTGAGTAAGACTGGATGACTAAAGCTGATTAAATTCATTAAACATTAATATCTGATCACCTTCCTGTCTCCCTGAGTCAAAGAACCAACCCTTCCTCAATCAATCTATTTCACACGTTAAACTTTATAATAGCACTTGAACCAACAGAAAACCATTAAAAAAAATGTGAAAGGAGGATGAATGAACATAAAGTACATAAGAATTGTGTTAAACTACAGTTGCTCAATTGTGTCACTAAAGTGTCACTGCACAACCTGTTTGCCAGAGTTTTAAAGGGCAGCAGCATATCGTAGATTCAGAGGACCTTGACCAATTTATTATTCGTGTTAGCTGACCCACATTTGCCCAAACCATAAATCCAGTGACTTTCAGATCTAGTCTGTAATACTACAAACCCATAAAACATTGCCTATAGCTTTTTCACTCCCGTTAGTTCACTACTAATACATACTCTAAATGGATTACTGTAACTGAACAAATAAATGAAAATGTAAATAAATAGAGATATTTAAAGTTCTAGAATAAACCCAAAAGAACAGCAGAAGATCAGTTAAATTAGTTTCCACATTTATACCTGCTGTGACTGCAGGTACAAGCTGTCCGGTTGACTGACCGCTCTGCTTACTGATGCATTATAACCACATGCACGTGTGAAGTGGACTGCACCTTCACTCTCATCTGCTGCCCTTGTGTTGACCCAATCTTGCCTTGTCAGCTGGTTTCCACACACCACACACACACACACACACACACACACACACACTGCTTTCTCATCAGACCTGTCAGCCACCTGTCTCCAGATGGCTAAGCTTGATGGGTTAAGAGGAGTTTTCCTCTGCAAGAGCAAACAGTGCGCGCACACACACACACACACGCAAATAGATACACACATACGCTCACTGATGCATAGCAGTATAACGCAATTACTTCTTAGTGTCCAAGCTCCTGACACATATTCATCACATCCCAATAACACATACACATGTACAATTGTCTTCAAGGTTCCACAAAATAAAGATCTGTTTTCAATACTCCTGTGAGTCTCCAGAGACAGGTTAAAAATCTCTCTGGCCCAGTTGCCTCTCTGTCCCAGATACTAATGCCCTCGCTCACTTACACACACACAAAATGTAATAGTTTAAATGAAGCTCAAGCAGCACCAGTACCAGAGCATGCAAATTCATTGTGATCTCCACTTTACAACCCTGTCAGTTGCCCTCTATCCTTTCCCTCCATACCTCTTTTCTTCCTCCTGCAAGCATCTCTCCGTCTCTGCCCCTCCTCTTCCTCAGTGATGGTGAAGAGAGCGGGGATTGCTGAACGGCTGCCTCCCTTCCTCAGCTTCCGCTTGCCCCGTGTGCAGCCACTTCCACCTCCTCCTTGTTCTCGTCCTTTACTTTCTGGCATCGCCTGCCCTGTTGCTAACCCTCGAGCCTGTGGCTAACTCACCCAACCCCTGCCCATCTCACCCTGCAGTGGTAGGTGGGGGGGCAAGTGGTGGATGCCAGACGATGGTGGTGGATGGGGTCACCCCTAAAAGCCTTCTTCTCAGTGAAGACGTGGACAGTTAACAGCTATTGCTAAAAGCTAATTCCACTGGATGCACATTGCTGCTCTGTGTCTGAGACAACAGAAAGAAGGGAGAGGAAGAGAGAAGGAACAGGACAGAACAAAAATGGCAGGAGAGATGGAGGAAATGAAATTATGAAATGAGGTAGGTAAAGAAAAGAGTAAAGAAAAACGTGCAGAGTTGGTGAGGGACAGTGGAGAAACAGTCAAACAGAGCTGTTCACTGTGGCATGTCCACACTGCGATGGCAGTGCCAGGCATAGAGAAAGAGTGAAAGACAGAGAGAGTGCGACCGAGTCTGAGGATGAGCTCTTGTAGTCTGGCTTAGAAAAGAAGACTTAATCCAAAAGACTGGCTCGGTTGAGAGCTGGAAAAATTGCCCTTCTCTGGACTTCCTCACTCCTCAAGAGATGCGGCTGCTGCTGTCACTACTGTTACTGCAGCCCCATTTTCCCTCCTCGCCTCTCTATTGCTAGGCCTATTCTGTGAATGCAAACTTGTCAGAAGCATCACATCACACAGGCACTGACTGTACAGTACACACACACACACGCACACACAGACCCACAGACACACGGGTAACAGAGGGCAGCAGGGCCGTTAAAATATTCAGTGCAAATCCAGCGGTGGAAGGTGAGCCGGTACCGGTAAAGGGTTTCCCTGACAACAGCAGCACATGGACCAATGACGCAGTGGGAAAGCGAAAGAGCAGAGTACGGGCACACTTTAATGTAATGTACACACACACACACACACGCAACTCGGGATGCACTCCTATGCACACACCAAAGCAAACAATGCAGTACTGGAGCTGCCTCTGTGGAAGGGGTGTGTTCATAGAGCACATGGTAGGCTATATGTCCCCGCCCCATTCTGCACTTAAAGAGCCATCAGCTATTTGCCATACCACAGCTGTACAGTAAATATGGAAACCTTTTCATTCATGTCTTGCTGGCTCTTTACAGGAATAGCACACAGAAATATGCAGTGCATCAGTGTTTATATCTGAGCACTGAGCAGTATTGTTGCACTTGCAATGCTTTAATGGATATGTAAGTCTTGTTTTACTTCCATTTCATACATTGCATGTGTAAATGCACTGGATCTGAAAGGGTGAGAAATAAAGAAAGCAAAAAGAGAAGACGTGCTGAGCATTTGAACCTGGCAGAAACACACAGTAGGACAGGTGCCATGGAAGGAAGAGAGAAATGATGGGGCAATAAAGTTATTGAAATCATTACAGGCCATATTATAGGAGGCCTGTCCAATAACAGTGCAAACATCAGCCTGAACAACCATGTGGCATTTGCTTGTGCCGTTATCTCCCATCTACTTAAACAAATACACACAGAGACTAAACAACCAGCATGACAGCTTGAGATCTTCATGCCACCAAGACACTCTGGCTGAAGACAGCAGGGCAACTAAATGATTGCAGACACAACCACTGACCTTAGCTGAAACATTACAGGTGCACTTTTTCTTGTAGTTGGCCTAAGGTCAACTTTTTTGATGCCAATATAGACAACATCTTGGTACAGAGTATTTACTAAAGAACACATCCAATTCTTAGACCCTTCAAACATTTATCATAAAAACTTTGTTCCTTATCTCCTTAGGGAACACATGCTGTACAAACACACATACCCGTATTCATGAAAGAGCAATCTGATCTTTGTCCCTACAGGATAGAGTAATGCTGTAATCCTACACTCCGACTTAAACCGGATAGGCTAGGCTACACACCCTTCTCACACCTATGTGTATAAGAAAGATGCAGACACGAGAACAGATCAAATATTTTGACTGTTGCATAAACACTAAACAGATGCATACTGACATTACTAATAAATGTGAGTTTATTGTTACTTCTTAATCACCACTGTCAACAAATGAATTAAAAAAGCTTTTGCCACATGCATATTTTTAGTATTTGGTAGTGCTAATCAGTTTGTCTTATAGTGAGATACAGACCTAGCTAAAAGCAAATTCTTATCTGCGTTTCCCAAGCTGGGGCCCTCAGTGACATGATGTTTAACACAGTATAAAATACAACAATTCAGTTTTAGTTGTAAAGCACCAAATCGTTACAGAAGGTGCCACAGGACACCTTTCAAATAATCATAATAAAATACCAAAATCTGAATCATCACAGGATGTTCCTTTTAACTTTATTGCTACAGAAGAAGCGACACCTGCTCCATGAATACATAATTTCTGAGGTTATATTGAGATCCACTGTATGTGTGATTAGTATAGTGTAAAGGAGCAGCATCGCTTGTTTACCGGGACAGAGAACTGTACTTCTGATATAAACAGCCAGGCTCGTTCGTGCATATTCATTTTTAAAGAGCAACGGCCAAACAGGAAACTCCAACACTCGACTGGACCAATGATGTAACTTAATCTCAAGTCACGGACTGTCGCGTATGTAGGGCTTGGCCCACTTGTTGTCGTCCAGCCAAAAAGCGTATTGCTTGTATTACAAATAGGGCTAACTAGTGCTGATTGCAAGAAAATGCAACAACCCACATGATGTGGACAAGATGACTAAACGGAGAGGATTAGGAAATATTATCATCATGGTGGTGCAGGTGAAGAGGGGCTGCAGGGAAGGCTGTCCTTCTTGCCAGTCAGGGCATGTGTGAGCAGTACTACTGTTACAGTACAGGTGAAACAATGAGCAGAAAGGCTCGGGGCTCAGTATAGATCTCAAAACTTCAACCAACACAGTTCAAGAAAAGATTGCTGTAGGCAGAACACACCAGCAGGATGAAACAAGATATGTAAAAGTTTTTTAATCACGTAAACAAGGGCCATTTAATGAAATGGTAAAAAATAAAAAAGGCCATGCCTGAAGGGAAGGCGTATGCAGGTAAACTGGAATACATTCACAGTCGGTAACATGACCAAGCTCAGATGTGTCCTGCATTAGCAACAAGTAAGAAATCAAACAGCTGATATAGAAAGAGATATTGAAACCGGTTTTGCCACAGAGTGAGAAAAGATATGCGAAGCATTGTGTGAGTGGAAGATCGCAGTTTTGATAGAACTGCTGATAATCCCTCAGGACCGTGATCACAACATCAGAGCCAGGTTCAGTCTTGTGGTAAAAGGTGCAGTGGTGCAGCGCATTGTGAATCTTAAAGCTCACAGCAGCATGGGAATATAAGATAAATAATGCATGTGGAGGTTGTTTATGAATATTAAGCTAGAAACAGAACTGAAAAGCTTGAAAGCATCATGTTACCGAAAATGGATGCCAAGGGTTGGCAGCAGAGTCGAATTAGACGGACAATATTTTTATTTACTCCATATTTATAGAATATTTTCTGGTTTCTTTAGCTCACTATGACAGTAAACTAAATATATTTGGGTTGTGGACAAAACAAGACATTCAAGAACATCATATTAGGTTTAGGAAACAGTGGTCAAGGTTCTTTTCTCACCATTTTCTAACATTTTATGGGCCAAACTAATAGATTGATCGAGAAAACAATCGACAGATTAATCGATTATGAAAATAATCCGTAGTTCCACATCCCTAACTGAATGTCACAAGGGATCTTCAAATCAGAAACCGCTCTTCTCCCATCATGAACTAGGCTAATACATCTATATGAAAGACTCCCTGACAAAATACGATCTTAACATTTCATCTCAAACTTTAGTCTCACTTTCTATAGTTCTGAAGCAATAGTGAAGCTAGTTCTTACTATCACATGTCAGAGATTTTCACTACCATAGGAAAATTTTTTTAAATAAAAGGTGATTAATATTCAAAAGTTAAACAAACTAAAAAAAAAAAAAACATTTTCCAGTCAGTAGCTCAAATGCTCAAACCCCAGAAACAACAACAGACCAGCGTACAGAGTCAGGCTTGTTGCACTGCTCTGATAACAAACCCAATGGGTGATGTCACAGCAGGTATTTTGCCATTAACAGCTAATGGACAACACCTGTTGTGCCATTATTGTATACAACTGAGGCAAAACATGCAAATAGGCTTCCACTTTTCAAATAACTGAGAATTGTGCACCACCACTGCACCTGCCCCTTTTTAGATTCAGCACTAAATTATATATAATTTAAAGAAAAAAAATTATTCACATTATTCTTGTTTATTTGATTTTGGCGACACCAGTGGTGATAAGTGGTCAATGCTTTGAGGCTTTGCTCTTAAAATGCAAATGATTAGACTGACAGCAGCTACCAAACCAAACACGCCCATTTTATTTTGCTTTTAGGTTTTTATATAACATATAAGGATTAAAATGACATGCCACCGGACAAAAAGGCTAATAGAAAAAGCAGCTTAAACGGAGAGTAGTGAAGCTATGAGTAGCCATTTTCAGTCCTAACATCAGTACAATAAATGACGACAGCCGCGAAACCATAAATTAACAGTCTGGACCACAGGTGTGCGGTTGTCCGGTGCTCCACTAAAGTTTGAGGAGTTAACACGCTTGTCCAGACTGTGGACAGAATAAAACATGTTTAAAAACACTTGAAAAAGTCTGAGAACAAAATTGTAGCCTGAAGACACATTATAAAGCCAGCTACTGCCACCCGAAGAACCAGCTTTCTGGTCATTTCCATGAATTCACCTGTCACGTCGGCTGAAGGAGCGCTCTTCGACGAGTTGACAAAATGTCAGCAACAGGTGTCTGTCAGCGCAGGAGGAGCTCGAAATGTCTTTTAACGACTACGGTCAAACTAAAAACAGTTATGTGGGTAGTTTAGAGAACTTGTCGTGTTTTTATTGAACGTAAAGCAACCGGTTGGGTGAGTCGGTTGATCGTTAATCCCACTCCCGTGACCGTCCCGGCTCCGTGTACTTCAGTCTCTTCTGTAATTCACCGTCAGCGTTCAAACACAAGCCGAACTGAAGACCCTGCGCTGAGCAGTGCCTAATAGTTTTAAATCACAGTTTGTTTGGGTAAAAAGTTTAATACAGTCAACTTTTCTGTCGGTAGGAACTCACCTTGGGACTCGGGAGGAGATGCGTCGCTGCCATCCTGGTCCGCCATTTCTCCTGACGTCAGCTGAGAGGGATCAACGGCAGGAACCGGAGGGACCTGCGGGAGGGATCCTGAGACAGGCCGGGCACCCTCCCCCGGACAGGTGGGGGACGACACCGGCCAATACTTAATCTAGGAAGCGCAATAGTGTGTTTATAATCTCACGTTAGAGGCCAAATAAACTTTTCTCCCACTATTAGTCCCAGTCATTCCCACATTTACTTCATATTGGGCATTAAAGGCACCTTATAACCCAATAAGTGTTACCTGTTAAAGTGTAGAATTTGTATTTGTGCCTACCTAACTAAGATATTTGGCTAATCTCTGTTTGAATAATGATAGTAGTACTGCTTTAAAAAAAAAAAGACTGCTTGGTAAATTTAAGATGGAGCAAGGCGCATAAGTGAAACTACATTGCCTCAGGTCTGTCTAAAGTAGGCTATTGTGCTGACATCTACTGGCATTGTGGGAGGTTTATGCTCCGCAGGCTGTAGATTATTGGTTTCAAAACAAAAATGTTCATGGACTAGCTGAATTTTGTTGAAGCTACACAAACCAAACCTAACACTAAATTTAGCCTTGACCTCTGAACCCATATTAACTAATCCTGAGTAATTTACTGCAGTAGAGCAGCACATGTGAGACAGAAAGAGAGATGCAGGAAGACAGGATATTTTTTTACTGCAATTAAATGT